CAATCTAGGTTGTTAGAGCTTTTGAAGAGGGATGCCGATTAGTCTTTTGGAGAATCGGAAACAGAATATAAATTTAGATAGGAAAATGATATTTTATAAGTTTATAAATGGGAAAATATCATTAAGCCATTATCTAGGTTATCTGGGTGAAAAAAGAGTCTTTTACTCTAAATATTCTAAAAATTATCCTATCTTCAGAGTTCAGATGTAATTAACTCTATTTGAACTAATTGTTAAACGCAACAAGAATTAATAATATACACAGGAAGAATGATTCAATATGGTGTTGATGGATAACAATTCAATGAAAGAGAAGTCTATGAATTCATAAATTTTGTTTATTTCTAATCATATAACATGAGTTTTGGTAATGATTCAAGGCCATTAAAGAATTCTACATGTATCAAATAACCATCTGGAAGCCCAATGGAGTCTCCCCTGAGAAAACCTTCCATCTTGACCATTCAATTATAACTTACGAGTTGATTGGACCATGTTTTAATGATTAATGAAATTCCCTGGTACCATCAGGAACAAAGATTCTTGCTCTGTAATGAAGAATTATAAGAATATGCAAGATTGAAAGAAGTTGTAAATAAAGACAGTAGAAGAGTAATCAGCAGCAGCCAATGTTTATCGGAGTCAGAACATGAACCAATTAGAAATTGAGGTGCTGAAGCAGCAAACAAGAACTAAGATGGCTTGTAATATTTTGTGGGTACAAATGGCATTTTTGTGATGTTTCCATCATAGGTCTTTCCTCGTACCTCAATCTTAACCTTGGTGCCTGCCTTGTGCAATCCAGATTTCACATACCCCATGGCTATGTTCTTCTTGAGGCACGGGCTAAATCCTCCACTGGTGATTTCACCAATGGGATTTCCTTTCTCATCATGAACCTTACTGTGAGATCTGGCAGGTGGACCTGAGGAGAAGAATCCAACACGTCTGACCAGCGGACCCTCTTCAAGTTGTTTGAGTATTTTCTCAGCACCTAAAAAGCCACCTTCTGCTCTCCTCCTCTTGCCAATGGCCCATGTGAGTCCGGCTTCTACAGGTGTCACATGTTGTTCCATATCATTACCGTATAAACATAGGCCAGCTTCAAGTCGGAGACTGTCTCGAGCACCAAGCCCTGTCAATCTGACCTTCCCTTCAGATTTCTCCAGAATTGCTTTGGCAAGATCCACGGCATTCTCAGAAGGAACAGAGATTTCAAATCCATCTTCACCAGTGTACCTGCGAATCTCAGGAGAGAAAAAAGAAAAATAAGTTGTAAAATCACAGAAGAAAAAAAAAAAAGTCAAAATGTAAGCTTAACACATGTTATTAAAGCATACGCTAGAACTAAAAGCCTCTGATAAATTTAATCTTTTTAGTTCACATACAAACAGAGGAAGGTGAAGAATGAGGAAAGAAAAAAGAACCATACCCTGTCCTAGTGAGAAAGCAAGTTGCCCCATTGATATCTAAAATTTTGAACAACCCAAAGTATAACTTGCTCAAATCCTCCTTTGTCAAGTGTTGAAGAACTGGGGCAGCAAGTGGACCCTGAAGAGAGAAATCAAGAATACTTTAATATATTTCGCTAAGTGAAGCCTTATGACTTAAAGAACACAATCATCAGCCAATATTTTACTTTGAGACTGTTTCATTCTCATGTATGGAACAGATCTTATTGGAAAATGCACCAGGATGCCCATAATGTAAGTTATCAACATTCCTAGTTTTGTGCATCAAAACTTATGTTTTTGATGCAATGAAAAAGGTAAAAAATAAAAGCCAGAAATGAAAAGAACAAGCAATAACAAAATTATAGCAAGAGAATAATGCATTTCAAAATGCTACAATGGTACTCCAGCCTTCAACAACCTGCTGGACATATGTTTGAGCAACCAATCATCTCAAAGGAATTCATAAAGACTTCCAGCAGAAATCCCAGTTTTAAACAAAGTGGCAAATGCTAGCAGAGATGATTAAATCCAGAAGTATACTCATATGCCATATCTAAAAATATAGTTCATTAATTCAGAGGAACTTATCAAAAACTCAAATTTGTAGCAAAAATTGAAAGTTTAGTATACAAAACCATATAGTGTTACAACTAACCTGGAGTGCAAGAAGAGATCTCTCATCATGGATGTGCCATGAGACATCCCCACCTTTGCTTGTGAAACTCTTCATGTGTCCCTCAATGTGGGCCAGATCCTTATCCCTGCATCCAGCATTCACAACAATGTAAATGTGATCATCCTTCACCTTTGTGATGACGGAATCATCGATTGCTCCTCCTTTCTCATTTGTAAAGACTGTAAGGGTCCCACTTCCAGGGGCAAGTCCAGCAACATCAGCAATCACAAGCTTCTCAAGAAAAGGAATGCAGTCCTTCCCCTTGAGGCTTAATCCACACATATGGGAGACATCAAAGAGACTACCATTCTCCCTACAATTCAGAGTAGATTCCATAATGGAGTCTTTGTATTGAATGGGCATGCTCCATCCAGCAAAAGGCACCATCTTTCCACCATTAGCAACATGAAAGTCATAAAGAACAGTTTTCTTCAGGTTACCAGCTTCAGAGGCAAAGTATCTACGAGCAACACCCTTCTTATCAGCCTGAGCCAGACGGCGGGTGATTGATTGTCCAAGTTGCCACAGACCCCCTCTCATTTTCCTATATAAATGTACCTGATAAAATAAAAAAATAAACAGATCTTCTTGAAAAATGAATCAATGATAATGAACTTCAGATGGGATCTTTATTAGTCCAACAAACACAACCTTATATAACAATGAAAAATGATTGCATCATCTACAATTGCCTAAAAATCTAGAGAAAAAAAAAAGACATCATTCTTCAGATGAATAAATAACAAAACACAAACTAAGGCTGCAAGTTTGTAATTGTTTAGTGTGTCAAGTGAATGAGTCCCAGTGAGTGTATGGGCAATGAGACCCCAGAAGCATTTGACTAAGCCAACCGGTCGGATGTTAATAGACAAAATCACCAATATAAATTCAAGCGAACTTAGTCATCGAGATCTTTAAAAATCACTCTTTTACGAGAAGAAAGTATATTTAGAGAAAAGGGAAATATCAAACGACATTAAAAACACAGTGGACTCAGACAAAAGAAGGTTCTTTTTTTCTCGAACTACTCTACAAAGATTCTTAACTGGCAATGGAAATATACAACAAAGACATATTAAATGCAGTTATGTCGCGAAAACGAAGTAGATAGAGCACTTACAGAGATGGGTTATCTTTCTTCTTCTGAACAAACAAATCTGAGAATTCAAACGAGCATCTCAACCCAGCAGTGGATAGTGGATAGAAAGAGAGAAAAAATATATGGACTTTATATTTATGTTATATTTTATAAAAGGAAATATGATTTAAAAAATACTGAAAAAGAGAGATGGTTGGTGGTATAAGGAGTTGGTGGAGGAGGGTTTCTAAGCCAAATCAAGAGGGGCATCCAACGAAAAACAACAAAACCCCATCATCAGTGAGTGGTTGCACTTCGAGTATCCCAATCTGCTTGTTCTATTTTTGGTTCATATGTTGCTTAGGCACAATATTGGTTTACTGTACCATAAAATATCAAATGTTTGATGACATTTTGTCTCTGGATGTACGGCCAATGTCAGAAGTTAGATGGGATGTAGGATTAACCGTCATGGACATGAGTGCAGGAGAGTTTAGTTGCTGACAGGCTACCTAAGTTGGTAAGGTATTGCTCTTGCGAGTACAAAATAAGTACAATTACATATACAGTTGTTGGGTGGGTTACTGTTAATATGTTAATGGCTGGTGAGGTGAGATGAGAAATGAGATTAACTGTTGACTGCTGTTTATTAACATGGTTTTGAAGGAATGTTTTAGGAAGTGGATGGATGGACTTGGATGCAGCCTAAAGAATTCTCCCAGATTTTCTGGTGGTTGTTTGGCAAATGGGTTTGCTTCCAAGGAAATCTTAAAGCCCAAGAAGTTGAGGATTTGTTAGGCATTCTTTGGCCCAACAAAGTTGCAAACAAGACGAAAGGAGTTATACAAGTTGAGTGACACTGGCCTTACAAAGAGGCATACAAAGAGTCATATAAAGAGATAATTTCTACCCTTAAAATTCATGATTGTCTCTCTCTCTCTCTTTTTCCCTTTTTTTAAGGATAGAGATTATCTCTTTGTATAGCTCTTTGTATATCTATTTGTAAGGCTAGTATTACTTATACAAGTTTGTTAAATTGGGAATGGCAAATCAAAAGAGTAAAGGTAATGCCCCAAATATGGGATTTGGTTTGGGACTAAAGTATTTTTACCAACCACCCCTCCCCCCATTTTTTTTGGGGTAACCAGAGCGTCCAAGCCAATCTAAGGTCTATTGAACTACCTATAAGCCCAAAAGAATAGGTAAATCACAATGTTATTATAGTAGGTGATCCCAAGATTTGAACCTAGAAAGGTTAAGGAAGACAACAAACCTCCTTGACCACGTGGACCAATCCCTTGAGGTTAACTATTTTACCCTTTACCATCAATTTTATCATTTCTACCATAAAAGGCAGGATTTTTAAGGTCATGGGACTGGAATGAATACTATTGAGTTCTCTATTGAGTAATTATAGCAAAACTCTCACACAATCTTGTAAAAAATGGTATTTTATCTGTGCTAAATTGTTTGAATAATACTACACCAACAACCATCTCTCACAACCTTGACGTGACAGCTCGTAATTGGTTAGTTCATAATAGGTCTCACATGGGTCCTGTATGAAACTTACTAATTAATTACAAACTGACCAATTATGAACTGTCATGTCAGAGTTATGAGAAAGAATTGTTGGAGTAGTATTACTGAAATTGTTTTCATTCCAAGAAAAGACAAAAAGGAAAATTACCTGAGTAAAACGATGTAGTTTCTTGAACAAGACACGAACACAACAGTGTTCTATTTGTACAAGGCAGTCGGGTGAAGTCATCGAACGTGAAGCCATATGATTTGAGGAAGTCCCAACGTCTTGTTTCTCATATTGTCTCATACCAGCCAGAAAAATATAAATTATGGAATCCTGGTAACCATTCAAAACATTGGTGGCTTCAGTTAAAAGCCTTTCAGATTCCTTCTTTAAACTAACTTCACTCCATCTTGGCATAGATATTAGATATTTTCACATCACCATATCTTTCCCACATGAACTCATCTATAAACTAAACGGGTAAGTCCAATTTTCTTTGTCTGTTCTTCTATTTCTTTATCGATTGAATTGTATTTGTGATCTTATGATCAAGAGATGAACAGGATCATATATTCGTTTGTTTTATTGTCTTCTGTAAATGATCACCTGCCCAGAACTTCAATAATCGATGCTAGAACTTCAATAATTAATAAGATCGAGTGTTTGATTTCCAAGAAAAAGATGAAAACTGACTCTAATTGAGCTAATGATGGTACAGATTTCATCATTTTAAGTTTTTATTAACTCAACTGGCAATTTCTTTTTGCATCTCTCTGCCTTTTATCCCAGCTTCTTGGGCTCAGCATAAGTTATTATTTACCTTTGTTTTTTTTTTTTTTTCCAATTTCTAGTTTATTGTCTGTTTAAGTCATTGGCACTAGTGTCTTCTGTGATTCTCTCTAGTAAAGAGTACTTACATATGTTTTGATGTTTTTGTAAATCAATTGGGTTCAGTTTCTGGTGACTTTTATTAGCACCTTATGTCATGGTGTTTTGTCTTGAATTTAAAGGCAATTATATGATGGTTCTACAATGTTAACGGTATATCCTCCGGGAGCTATCAGCAAGTGCCTGCCATATCTGGGCTGTAACACACTGAATGATGCTTCTCCCTGCAAGATTACACATGTTAATTCCTTGACTAGCATTGCAATTTCTCCTAGCCCTTTACAGGGTCCTTGTCATAATGTAGTTCGCAGTTCCCCCTTTTCTTCTTGGAAAGGTCGTAATCAGCTTGACACTCATCATCTGTCACATAGATTGCCTTCTAAGAAATGGCTGGTAAGCAGTGTTTTGATCTAGGCGTTAAACTGTGTCTTTTTTCACCTCAGATGATTTAACTTGTATTTTTTTTATTTTGATTATTATAGTGCCAATCACATGATGCTATCTCACCGGATGACGAGTATCGTTCATCACGCAACATAGCTATCAGCTTGTTCAGGCGATACAGGAATGTCATTGAGCGTGGAGGAGGTGACACCCTAAAAGTACATTCAGCTGTTTGGTTGATCTATTATTGAGACTATTATGCTGTCTTCCCCCAAATGATGTGTTTGATTAATGCATATCAGGAATTCATTAGTGCCGGAGTGAATGCATATGCACTAGGCTGCACCAATGAAGGAATAAGGAAAGAACTCATTGCTTTGAAGGAATCTGGTATTGAAATTGAAGCAATGCAAATTTATGGTGGAGGCACCAGTCTAAAATCCAAGATTTTCTCAGAGGAGGTGACAGTTCCACCGAATTTAACTTAATGCTTCTGTTAATGATAGATTCTTTTTATTTTTTCAATAGATGCACAATCAAATTGTTATGATGAAGATTATATTGTTATCAAATTACAGACTCATCTGTAGTGGATCCACATTTTCCTGTTTTATGATACAGGTAAATGAGTGTATTCTGTGGTTGAGCATTATATTCATTACAATATTGTGCACGCCGCAACCAACTATAGTTAGGTGGTCATCTACACCACCAGTTTCAGATGAAATACAGCTTCAATGGAAAGGGTTCTGTGCTCTTATAGCAAATGCATATTATGTACGGGGAATGGCGTGGTGAGGTTCTTTCAGAAAAATTATTTTGCCGTTATCAAGCTTGATTGTGTAGCTCAGTTTAGAGGGGTGTTCTTAAACAATTATTTTTTTGCTCACTCTTGTGTGGTTACCCAAGGCTTCCGGTGAAGACTCTTCAGTTGGAGCAAATGGCGGTGGTGGGACGTGCAGAGGAGCCATCAGTAGTTGCCAGCCGAATGCGATTAGTTTTTAGCACATTAGAGGTAAGCAAATTCTTGCTTTGTTTTTCATTAATCATGTGAGAAGATCTGCAGCTTTAACAATAATAGGTTTGTAGATTTTAAGTTTCTGTTCTGTAATTACCACTGTTCCAGAATAGACTGCGTTTGGTAATTTGATTTTCAATGGCTTGTGCAGGTAGTAAGTCCACAATGGCCAAGAGTCTAGCAGCAGCATGCTTCAATGTCAACGATAATTTCTTTTACCTAGTAGTATCTCTTATTTGGCCTATGGTTTACTTTACAAAATTGTAAATTATCATTTTATATTATATCATTCAACAACTTTCATGGGAAAGTTTCATGTAATCTTTTATTGCTACAATATTATCAATGGTTTATATTGATATTGTCCCTGTACTTAGATTGTTCTTTTTCGGGGTTAGTAATTCTATTATTAAAGGCAATGTTTTAAAACCCAGCTGCCGATTGAAGCAGTTCAACCAGCACTCGAAGTCTTCATTAGGTTGGGTTACAAATTTTCCTATTAATTGAAAACCCTATAAATTAGAGCATCAATCCGTAAATAATTGAAAGCACTCGAAGTCTTCATTGGATTGGGTTACAAATTTTCCTATTAATTGAAAACCCTATAAATTAGGGCATCAATCCGTAAATAATTGAAAGTTAAAATGTTAGGGCTTTTAAAAAGAAATGGCCGGTGAGTGTAATGATGGCAACAACGGTGATTTCTAGTGAGTGAATTGACTCGAAATCGCAAAATTATGTAACCAAAATCCCTAAAAAGCTTGATGTTGCTGACGATTGGGCAAGCGAACAGGAGAGGGATAAGATGGATTTTGGTCAAGAGGCTAAGAGGAGTGTTTTCGTAGTGATGCGGAGTATTTTCGTGGTGATGGAGAGTGTTGTCGTCACCTAAAACAAGTCTTAATTGCCAACATCGACGATGATGTTTGAGGTGTTTTTGCAAGATTTTAAACCTATAAGGACTTGCATAATTTTAAAGTATTTTTGTTAAATTTCAAACCTCTGACACCTATTTGACCCACCGGTCAAACCAATTAAACCAATCAATCCAGGGTCAGCCACTTTGCCTAGTTTCTAGGGGTGAGCGTTTCCAGATACCCTGCATTTTTCAAAGAAATCAGAATTGGAACCACACAGTGCAAGTTTCTAAAAAAAAGGAACTGGAACCTTTCGATTCCGATTCTTAAATTCAAGGAACCGAAATCTAAAATGTAAGTTCTGGTTTCTTACCCGAGTACCCTGTAAAAAATCAATTACCTACCTATTAGTTTTAAAAAATGACAAAAATACTTTAAAAGTTCACAAATACAACCCTAGCAAATTAAGAAAACCTACAGTTAATAGTTTTCAACTTTTGATTACTCATTCATTTGTGTCCAATGTGACTCATAAATCCACTAATCTCTGGACAACACTTGAATTCAATTAATTCATCTCAATTCACATAAAATTTATCAATCAAAACCAAAACACAAACAGGTTCCAAGCAGATTCCGAACAGGGTACCCGCTTTAAGATCTTTTCCCAGGTTCTGGCTCTAGTTTCGAAACCTGTAAGAGCTAGAACCGCACAGTATCTGTTCCAATAAAATGAAACTAGAACCTACCTGCATAATGTCGATTCCAGGTAGGTTCTGATTTTGGTTCTGATTCTAATTCTGCCCATAAGTTTCGGTTCTACCCGCTACTCATGCTCACCCCTACTTGGTTTCACCCCATATTAGATTTTAAAACACTTATTAATGGTGAACTTAAACAGTAAAAGCATTGTTGCTCAACCTTGCATCTTTCCTAAAAATTTTAAAGAAAGCTCAGCAGCAAGGAAACAAATATATTAATAAACTAAAATTAATGCCTTTTTTTATCTGTTTCTCTCCAATTACACTGGAATGAATGGGGCATATATTAGGAAACGATGTCAAAATTGATGGATACAACAAGGTCAAAATTGTGTTTTGGTTTTCGGCTATCAATTGCGACATTATAGTGCATCTGGCAAAACTGTAAGCGCAGCAGAGTCCCTAAGTGTCTTCCGTGCTCGCCAATAGACGGCGGTAGCTGTTTCTGATGTCCCCAACTGTGGAAGGATTGAAAATGAAGTTAGAAGAGATTCTAGGTATGTAACATATCAAGTAAGTTAATTTAATATAGAACATGGTGTCAAAAGTATAATGCAGGTGCGAGTAATGGTTTAACCATATTTCTAAAGGCACAACAGTAACTGCTGTTGGGCTCTGAAACTAGTCATGTTAAATAGAAATTAATTTTAGGTCATAAAAAAAGCAGGCAATAATAACAAATGAATACCAACATCAAAAGTGCAAAAATTCCAATTGGATGGTTAGACCAAGTGCTTCCTCGGCAATGCCAATTAAATCATACTCATTTGTAAAACAACTGGCATAAAGCAAACTATCCTGATGCATTTATTCTTAGTTAAGGTAAAGCATAGCAAAGTTCACCTTAGTCTCCATAGAATAGTAATCTCGCCACAATTCCGTGTTTTGGTCATAAGTTGCAAGAGCAGATTCAAACAACTTTCGAGCATTTACCAGAGAATTTTTATCCCCAACAGATGCAAGATTCGATTCTAATTCAATACAATTTCGATATAACACAAGACCTGGCCGGGGTAGAGCAAGAAACCTGCAATTGACACAAAAGCAGAGTCACAAACTCCTACATTGGGAGAAAGAGCCAATTTGGAGTCATAAGTTTTGATATATTAATGCATTCAATGCTAATGCAGCAAAACAATTATCAAATTTATCGGCAAAATATATCAACTAAATTACTGTACCAAAGGCTATCGTGCAAATAAACAGTGAATATTCAGACAATCATCACATACAATCTTCAGTGGCTGATGATTTACTAACATACCGCTTATACATCTCTCTTGCATACTGAATTCCATCTTTCTGAAGAACAAAATTTATGATAGCAGAAGGGAGGGAAAATCCATATTCACTGCCAACATCTTTAGCCACAGAAATGAGGGAAATCTCCACCAGCTTTTCAAAGTAATGTTTTTGATTTGCAAAAAATTTTAGGGCCTGCAATATAGAATAATGTTAAAAATAGAGTTGTAGAAGCCCCCCCAATTACTGCATTAGTTCTCAATAAAGACAAGGATTAAAGAAAAAAAAGCATGAAACACAGAAATTTCAAATGAAAAGAATTTAGTTCCTAAAATACCAGAACCCAAACCAGCATATATGATAATTAACTCATGCAATCAATAGAAACTGTAGCCTAACCCATGCATCTTACACCTCTTTAATCACATATTCCAATATTTAGTAATTTACCCACTACAACAAGAACCACTAAATGGTCCGGCTATTTAATTCTAATTTACTAATTAAACATCATACCTAAAGCCTCAATTTTAACCCTATAAAAGTTTTATATCAGTTATCAGTAAGAATAAAGGAAACTTGATAACATACCATAAGCCACAAGCTCTCAGCCTCTGATACTGAAAATTTTGTCAAAATACTTCTTAGGAGTTCAAAGATGGATAGCATGTCAGCCTTGCTAGGAGAAACGGAATTCTTTGTAACACATCTGACTTCTACTGAGACCCTTAAAAGCCATAATTGAATAGAATCAGAATGAGTTCCACTACAAAGCTTTTCAGCAAGTTTCCGGGCTTCATCCAATCTCCCAAGTTGCAAGTAAAGTGAAATATATCTGCAAGCAATATCCTCAGTCAAGCACCCCATTGCTTCAGCCTTTTCATATACTGTCAAGAGATGTGAAATACAATGTTCAATATGACTGGAGGGCTCAGAAACTTTAGTTTCTCCTCCATTGGGAGTAATAATATCAGTCAAAAACTTTGTATATTGATCAAGCATCTTCGCTGAAGGCACATTTTCCAAAGCCTCCTCATAAACCTACACATGAAAGAGCATCCAAGATGATAATTAGACAAATAATTTACTAGCTTCAGGAAAATGTTCATCTGTAGAGTATGCACAGGCTTAAGATGCTTGTAAATTTATATTTAATGTAGTAAAAATCAGCCTTAACAAAACCACAAATGAAGGCATTTAAATGTTTTTTGGCTACCACTCAGTCATATGGGTTGTACCTGAACTGCTTTTTGCATTTGGGAAAGCACAATATTTTCACTCATCTCCTGTGTACTTTTATTATCAGTCATTTCAAGTCTTGCAAGCCAGTCCCAATATTCTGGATCTGCTGAAAAGTCCCTCTTCATGTCACTGAGTATCTCCTTGCGCATGTCTTCTGATTGTGCCAAGTCCGTCCCTTCCAATATCTCAAAAAATCTTTGCCTCAGGCTGAAGCTTGAAGGGATAGCCTCGACTGCTCCACTGTAAATAGTTTGAAGAACCCTTAAACCTTGTTCTCTAAACAAATCTAGTTTCTTCTTGGACTCCATATTTTCAAAATTTGATTCATCAACACTTCCCTTATCTTCTTCAAGGGGCATAAACAAATCTTTGTTTTCATTAATCCATTGTTTCTCATCAGCCTCTCTACGATCACGAACCAGAGTTCCCATATCCTCGCCAAGAGCAACCTTCCTGGCCTTTAATTTATTGAGGTATGTAAGTTCCATGCGAAGATACTCAACCCAAAGGTCTTCGGAAGTTGGGCACACTCTCAAACCATTCTGCATAAGAGCACGTGCACCAGTGACATTTAAATTATGATCGAATTCCCATGCTGCCGCATATATCCAAACTCCAGGGACCTTAGGATGAAATCTAATCACTTGAGCCAGGACCTGCATATGTTTAATTGAAAATATTTCATAAACAAATATGAGCAAAAATAACCTATTATTTAAACCTACACTCTTTACCATTAATAACAAATAAACAGCACAAAGCACAACAATTGAAGTCTTTATATCCTCCCCTCTACTTTCTCAGTAGCCAAACCACACTCAGATGATAAATCAACCAATTTTTTTATCGTTCAAACATTTCATTATCAAGTTAGTAATCTAAAAAAAAAAAAATTCAGATTCAATAAGTTTAATATCTGAAAATGCATTTCATATAATGTTTAAAAACTATTTTCCAAGTTAGAAACTCCTTTTGGGATTGTATAAAAACTGTTTCCGAAAGCCTTTCAACTCATTTTTTCATAAATTTGTTGCATTCCTTATTTACAAAAAAGAAAAATTAAACTGTAGGTAAGTTCTATATCAAACAAATCCTAAACTACATATAATTTTTGTTTCCATTTCCTCAACCAAACACATAGCATTCAAAATATTTCCTCAAAAATTACCTTCTTCATCCTCCCATTCTTTCGCAGCCTACAAAACTCCAAGTACCTAAACCATAATTCAATATCTCCCTTAAACCTCATAACCGCCAACCTATAAATCTCCAAAACCCTCGCAACTCCAGCAAAATCCGAGGCCGACTTTTTCGTCCTCTTCCTCTTCTTCTTCGCGGCCTTCTCATCGTCCTCCGTCTCTCGCGGCACCGACTTCTTCCTCAGGCGGCGGAGAGTGTCGAGCTGAGTCTCGTACTCTATATACGCCAAATAGTCTTGCTTGAGAGGACTCGGTCTCTTCAACCTGTACTCGAACTTCCTGCGCTGCTTAACGATTTCGCTGATTTCGCGGCGCGTAAAGAGGCCGCGCCGTTCCAGGTCGTCCAGCTCGTCCACCATGCGCTCCATCCGGTACTGTACCACGTCAGCCATTGCCGGTTGTTTTGAGAGCTAGTTCAGTTGTTCAAGTTCCAACTTGTGAAAGGAAGGTTACTGTGAGTCTCTCTGACTACTCTAGGGCTTCTTCGGGTTAATGTTTCGTTTCAGTTTGCGAAGAATGACGAGGGAAAAGAGGATTTGTGATCCGGGCCTGGGCCCATATCCGGCCCATCTGGATCCAATAAAGTCTCATTTTCTTTTTTGAATTTATTACTACATAAATTGGGGAAAATGTATAGATTAATAAAATATTTTTATTATTTATTGGTGTAATTTTTAGAAATTCTTTAGTATTTAATTCTAGTAATTAGAAATACTATAAGAAGTTAAGATGGCATTAATAGTATAGTTATAATTAGTAAACCAAACCTAAACTTTAGATTAATGGGTTATTTAATTATTGAGTGAAAGCTTGGATTGAAATTGGTTGGGACTCTTCAATCAAATTTTAGAGAAAAAATTGCATGAATAGATATATTATGTTATTTATAAATTTATACAATTATAGAGAATATTTATTGAGCAATTATACATTGCAAACGGCCAAGTTACTCGCACCTCGACTAATCCCCCTAGGTAAATCATGAGCAAAAGCATGGTTTTAAAAACCTGGTCTAGCCCGGTCGAATCGGGACCTGGGGCCTTCATCGCACCGGGTTATCACTTTCAACTATTCACCATAAACCCTAGAATTATGGATAGCGGTCGACAAGCGTACAACGACAATTATGTTGCGGCTTTTGAAGAGGAAGTGCCTATAAGTCCAAAGGTGGTGAAGGGAGTGATTTTCTGGTGAGTGAATCGACCGGAAAAGATAAAAATCGGTCATCCAAAATAGCGAGCTATTGTTGGCGATTGGCGGAGCAAACAGGGGAGGGGTGAGATGGGTTTTGTCTTGGAGGCTGAGGGGAGTGTTTTAGTGGCGATGTGGAGTGTTTTCATTGCCAGAAAAAAGACCCTATTTGCCATGGGTTGTCGATGTCAGTGTTGGTGTTTGAGGTGTTTTTGTAGGATTTCAAACTTTTAGGAACTTATATGGAGTTTTTACGGGTACTTTTGTTGAATTTCCAACCTTTGGACATACTGATGTCACTGGTTTGACCGGCACCGGTTTGACCGGCACCAAGGACTCGACCAAGAGGTGCTCGATATATTTAGCTCATTAGATGGATTATGCACATAATATGATACATTTGCGAGATGTTAGAAAGGTTGAATTGGTTTATTAATTTGTAGGGAATTTAAGTAAGAAAATGTTAGATTAATGTAGGTAGTAAGATCAAATATAATTTTGCAAGGGAACAACAAGAACTTCCCAAGAGAGAGTAATTTATTTCATGTCAAAATGTATTAGATCGATTGATCAACATTACTATAACGAATAAAGCTTTGTGTTTCACTAGTAATGCTACGAGTTGAAGGCATGCAAAAATCTCAATACAACATTACAATATGATTTTGTGTAATATCTAGGGATTTCCATTGTTGCTATCTTTGTTTGCATCACCACCACCACCACCACCACCACCATTTCCGATTCCGAATCCAAATCCAATTCCCATTCCGAATCCCATATTCACCCCATTCTTCCTTCCATAACCTTTCCCTACTCCAACTCCTCCTCCGTAATCACTACCCTCACCATGCCCATATCCTTCACCTCCTCCTCCTCCACCTCCACCTCCACCACTTCCTGCACCCCCTCCTGCACCAAAACCACTTCCATGACCATACCCTCCATCAGAACCACCTCCTCCTCCTCCACCTCCACCAAATCCTACATTGCCACCAAAGCCAGCACCAAAACCATTTCCATGACCGTACCCTCCATTTGAACCTCTACCACCTCCACTTCCACCACCACCTCCTCCTCCTCCTCCTCCTCCTCCTCCTCCTCCTTCACCACCCACACCAACCCCAGCACCAAAACCACTACCATGACCTTCTCCACTCCCATCAGAGCCACCTCCTCCACCTCCCTCTCCACTTCCACCTACACCTCCAGCTTCCCCACCTCCAACTCCTCCACCAGCACCATATCCACTGTCATGACCAGACCCTCCTCCAACCCCACCTCCACCACCTCCTCCACCAGCACCACCCCCACCTACACCACCTCCAGCTCCATAGCCTTCACCATGACCGGAACCTTTACCCCCAGACCCTCCTCCAACCCCAACTCCACCTCCTCCACCAGCACCACCCCCACCATTACCACCTACACCACCTCCAGCCCCATAGCCTTCACCATGACCAGAACCTTTACCCCCACCACCTCCTCCTCCTCCTCCACCACCGCCACCACCGAGACCTCTACCATAAAAGCTTCCACAACTTCGCCAACTTCGATGAGAGCAGTAATCATCAGTCTCATAACCATTCTCATCACCAACATCTCCCTCACGACTGACACCAATCAAAGCACTAAAAACACTCAAAAGAAGAAGAGCCACGTAGAAATGTTTAGCAAAAGCACCCATGACTCCTACAATATTATAAGCTCCGAAGCTCGCTTGCGATTCATCTCTTTCAATCGCCCCTATTTATACAAGTTTTTGAGTGTTGTTCAAAGGGACGTACAAGGAAATGGCGGGAGCAAATAAACAAGACATCCATCCAAGTCAAGAAAAGTATAGGAAATATCTTGGTTGGTCAAATGATAGCCTCCAAAAAATTAATATAAAACTCCAACGATCAATAACATATGATTAATATCGATTTAATCAGAAACCAAATAATTGTATTACGATAATGAACTGATCATGAGATGGTGGAGTAGGTATTGTGATTGTATCTTCTCGAGGCTACAAAGTCATATACATATATAAATCAGTAAATGAAAAATCTATAAAATTCTACGTGGAATCCCATCTGTCATCTTTACTTTAATGAATTTGATAAGAATTAATAAGAGAAGAAGGAGTGGATGGCCACATAGGATGTGAAAAGAGATATGTGGACGCCATGGGACCAATGTGATTAAGATATAAGTATAGTTTTGGGTTGTTGTTGTGATGGCGAATGGGTTTAGAAACTTGAAGTGAAAGCCTAGCAAAGTATGAATACTCAATATATCATCGTCAACTCTCATTTTAATCAGCAACCAAACTGTTTGATTCGTAATGGACCACTACTCCTACCAGAGTGCCTTGAGAGAGCACCGATCAGATTCTTTTTCCTCTTGGTATATCATCATCTTCCTTTTACTTTCTTTTCTGCTAAACAATGAGTTCACAGGTTTAATTTATATCTAATTGCACTATCATATGATTCAAAATACTCAAATTGGAAGAGATGCATATGCTAATATACATGAAAATTTTGAGTTGCATACGTTTTGCAATCTTTAAAATGGACAATAAATTCATCTCTATATTTATTGGCAGCTATACATTGTGTGCGACATTTAGTAGCCAGAATTGTTAGTGATATTCAACTAGCACATTGATTCGTAGTATTTAATGTTGGATATGGTTCATACTTCGTATAACCTTAACAGATTATCGGCTTATGTCGACTCATTCAAGAGTCTCGCTTGTCGGTGAGCGGGCGGGGCTGAGGGGGCAACACCCTCCTCACAGTAAGCCCAATTAATAATTAGGTTTAGAACTAATTTGCAAATATTTAGCCCAAGGTCAGATTAGATCGGGTAAACTTAAATAGGGTTAGGTTTTCTATTATATGCATTTTATAATAGTGAGAAACCTAAGAGTGAAAAATAAAGAGCAATAGTGAACTGTTGATACTTTTATATTATTGTATTCTGTAGATTTATGAAACTCGATAAAATACTATATTTAAATATTAGATATAGTTCCTTTGTTGGAACGAACCGAGTAAAAATTAATCGTCCTTTTGTTAATTTTCTACTTTTATTATTGTGTGATTGGATTGTGGTTTCAACATTTAAGGCATACCACAATTGAAAAAGAGAAAAAATAACTTAAAAATAAAAAGTATACCACAGTGATGAAGGAGGCAGGTTGGTGCTGGTGCATTAGGAACCCGTATCTATCTGTGTCTACCTCCACAGAGAGCAAGTAATTAAAGTGAATGCATTTGAACATGGAAGGATTAGGACGAAAATCTTTCAAAGATTTCTGCTTGTATACGCTAAGGGCTTTTTTTATTTATAAGGTTTTCTTGTTGTAGCTAATCTTGTCTCCTTTTGTAGAGAAACAATTTCATTTAGGAAAATTATTCCTACACTTTGTAATTAATGGAAAAGCTATAACTGCTCCCACTATATCTTTTGTTTTTTCAATTTAATTGTAACAGGTTTTATAATCTCTAAGTGGACTCCAGTGATTACGCAGTTATAATTTGAGAACTTCCATGTGTTTTCTTGGCACGAGTGAAGAATTAATTAAACTTAGAGAGAGCCAACAAAATTTGAAATATATATTTAATGTCTCTCCATTAATTTGATACAAAAGTTCTGGCAAATTAAACTGTTAGAATATCTCCAATAGTATTCTTTATTTTAAAAAGTATTATCTTTAATTTTTAAATATAAAGAATATAATTTTTATTTAAATCTAATAGATTCTTTAAATTTAATGAAGATGTTCTTTATTTTTAAAAAAGAAACTTAATGAGAGAGAGAATTAATAAATAAAATACATAAAAACTTACAATTTATTAATTAAAATTATGATAGAGAGTGAAATTTAACTCTCTAAATGTAGAGAATCAAACTTACTCTCTAATTTATATTTTAAAGATAAAGAGTCTATTAGAGTTTTGTTTATATGGATATACTCCTTATAATAAAGAGTTTGGATTATATAAAGAGTCATTTGAAGATGCTCTTAGCATCTATTTATGTAGAAACATACTGAAAAGATAGAACCAAGAGTCATGAATGTTAAATAAATCTACGATTGACAACAACACTGTCAGTGATCAATTAATCGATATTGCATATCAGAAAGATATAGAGACTAGACCCAATTAATCATATCTTTGTCAAACTCTTGTCAATTCTTGCACAATTCTTGTATGTAAGAGTGCTAAAGTTCAAGTTCAAATCATATTCATTTTCTTACGTAGGAGATTGGGCATAACAATGACAAGATTGCCTCGCGGGTAAATATGAGACACCCTGCATCGTTTGGGAAGGAGGGACCTAAACTGATTAAATACCAAGAGAATTCTTCAAATGTCAAGTCACGTTTTGAACTTAAGCAAGGTTTTTGAGCTTAAAAACAAAATCGTGAGGGGTTGGGTTTCGAAGTCGAGCCACCTAGGTTGTCTGAGCTTCAGAGTCAAGTCACCCAGGTTGCCAAATTGGTATCAGAGCCAATCCCAATCGGAAGTGTGCAGATAGTCAACTGAGAGTGGGGCCACCCAGGCTACCTGGGCTTTAGAGTGGGGCCACCCAGGCTACCTAGGCTTCGGAGTCGGGCCACCTAGGCTGCCAAATTAGTATTAGAGTCAATCTCAATCGGAAGTGTACAGATAGTCAACCGTGAGGGGTTGGGCTTCAAACTCGTGCCATCCAAACCACCAAAACGAATAATATCTTGACAGTGTTGTTACAAAATAAGTCACTTCTTGCTCTTTGACCCTCGCTGTCACTATTTACCATTGAGAATTTCTATTAATTCATCAATTTTTTGACTTGATTTGACCTCTCTCAGAGATTTCAAAGATCAATATATATATACATAGAGGGCGTTTTGATCATATAAGATTTTATTATAGGGGTATATTATATTAACAAAAACAAAGATCATCTTGAAGATTACTAGAAATGTTTAGAAAATGTGTTTGGTTGGTTCGAATAAATTGGTGAATAATATATTTGGTTGGGAGGATAAATGGACAGGTATGTTCTATAAATTCCTAAATTGCCCTCCTTTATAAATATTAATGTAATAGTATTTATTATTTTATTTTTTTTAATCATTTCTTTAAACCTCCTACATTTGAAATTTTCCTAAAACATCCTAGCCAAATAAAACTTTAATTTGTAGCAAAATCACCACCACCCACTCCAAGCCACTGCCGACAACTAGCCACCTCTGTCGGCCACCGTCGATCGTCGTCGACTGTCGACGGAATGGTGCACGATTAGCCGTATATGGTCGGCCGTGTGCTAGCAAAGCCGAAAATGGTCATGGATCACAAATCCATGGCCAAAAAATGACCAGATCTATGGCCATTTCACGACCAAAGACGTGACCGTGAAACGGCCATAGAAATGTCAGATTCGGCCATTTCCGACCATGGATCTATGATCCATGGTCGGAAAAGGCGATTGAAGCTGGCGGTCGGCGGTGGTGAGTCACGACCGGCAGTGATCTTGGGTGGTTGGGGGTATTTTGTTAACTTTTAAACTTTTTTATGGTTAGGGTATTTTAGCTAATTTCTCAAATGTAAAGGGGTTGGGTATTTGTTATTTGGTAGACATTTGAGGGCAATTACGTCCGAAATGGTTTTAATTAAGAGCAAAATGGATAGAAAAATCATATTACCCAGTAATATTTTAATAATATCTCTTAATAAGGTAATAAGATTACTTCCCACATAACCAACAGTAAATACTATTTGTAATAAAAGATTATTGTAATATTTTATTACTTTCAAGCTAAATACTAAGAATCTTATAAAATAAACAAACATTACTCCCGTTATCTTATATGCCGCTATCCAAAGTTAAAATTTATTTACATATACATTATCTTCTACCAAGAACCAAACCCATATGTTAAAAGTTGAAAGGTCAAAGGTATATTCGAATAAATAATTCGACTCAAACCGCCTCATCAATCAATCAACCATGTGATTCCTCAAATTAAACTGTAGGTGCAGGCAGAGAGAAAGAGCAAGGAGCTCTTGTTTACGTACAAATACAATGGGGAAATCTTCCCGGGGGCTACCATGCATCCATATCAATGGTTAATTTGAAGTAATTAAATTCTGATTAAACTTACCAAAGAATCATGGTTGATGATGACCCATGAAAATCCAGTCCTGCCTCGGTCAGTACGTGAGTTTACAACAATATTTGTATATATCTTTTTGTTATTTGGGGACTAGAGGTATCGCACCAGATTGTGCATACCCAACTAATTTCATTATTAATTAAGTACAGGAGCTTCTTGCAAGCATAATTCATACACAAAGTTAAAAAAACTTAACCAGCATACAGGAGGAAACAGATTTTGAATTCAGGGTGATCCTCCTCCGAAACCTCCACCGGCACCAGCACCACCCCCTGCACCAGCACCAACACCACCACCACCAGGGAGACTGCCACCGCCTCCACCGCCTCCACCACCACCACCACCACCACCACCACCAAGCCCTCCTACTCCAGACCCAAACCCACCTCCAGCTCCTCCTCCAAAACCAGAACCACCACCTAGCCCATCCCCTCCTCCGCCACCAAATCCTCCTCATTTTCTACTTTTATTATTGTGTGATTGGATTGTGGTTTCAACATTTAAGGCATACCACAATTGAAAAAGAGAAAAAAGAACCTAAAAATAAAAAGTATACCACAGTGATGAAGGAGGCAGGTTGGTGCTGGTGCATTAGGAACCCGTATCTATCTGTGTCTACCTCCACAGAGAGCAAGTAATTAAAGTGAATGCATTTGAACATGGAAGGATTGGGACGAAAATCTTTCAAAGATTTCTGCTTGTATACGCTAAGGGCTTTTTTTATTTATAAGGTTTTCTTGTTGTAGCTAATCTTGTCTCCTTTTGTAGAGAAACAATTTCATTTAGGAAAATTATTCCTACACTTTGTAATTAATGGAAAAGCTATAACTGCTCCCACTATATCTTTTGTTTTTTCAATTTAATTGTAACAGGTTTTATAATCTCTAAGTGGACTCCAGTGATTACGCAGTTATAATTTGAGAACTTCCATGTGTTTTCTTGGCACGAGTGAAGAATTAATTAAACTTAGAGAGAGCCAACAAAATTTGAAATATATATTTAATGTCTCTGCATTAATTTGATACAAAAGTTCTGGCAAATTAAACTGTTAGAATATCTCCAATAGTATTCTTTATTTTAAAAAGTATTATCTTTAATTTTTAAATATAAAGAATATAATTTTTATTTAAATCTAATAGATTCTTTAAATTTAATGAAGATGTTCTTTATTTTTAAAAAAGAAACTTAATGAGAGAGAGAATTAATAAATAAAATACATAAAAACTTACAATTTATTAATTAAAATTATGATAGAGAGTGAAATTTAACTCTCTAAATGTAGAGAATCAAACTTACTCTCTAATTTATATTTTAAAGATAAAGAGTCTATTAGAGTTTTGTTTATATGGATATACTCCTTATAATAAAGAGTTTGGATTATATAAAGAGTCATTTGAAGATGCTCTTAGCATCTATTTATGTAGAAACATACTGAAAAGATAGAACCAAGAGTCATGAATGTTAAATAAATCTACGATTGACAACAACACTGTCAGTGATCAATTAATCGATATTGCATATCAGAAAGATAAAGAGACTAGACCCAATTAATCATATCTTTGTCAAACTCTTGTCAATTCTTGCACAATTCTTGTATGTAAGAGTGCTAAAGTTCAAGTTCAAATCATATTCATTTTCTTACGTAGGAGATTGGGCATAACAATGACAAGATTGCCTCGCGGGTAAATATGAGACACCCTGCATCGTTTGGGAAGGAGGGACCTAAACTGATTAAATACCAAGAGAATTCTTCAAATGTCAAGTCACGTTTTGAACTTAAGCAAGGTTTTTGAGCTTAAAAACAAAATCGTGAGGGGTTGGGTTTCGAAGTCAAGCCACCCAGATTGTCTGAGCTTTAGAGTCAAGTCACCCAGGTTGCCAAATTGGTATCAGAGCCAATCCCAACCGGAAGTGTGCAGATAGTCAACTGAGAGTGGGGCCACCCAGGCTACTTGGGCTTTAAATTGGGGCCACCCAGGCTACCTAGGCTTCGGAGTCGGGCCACCTAGGCTGCCAAATTAGTATCAGAGTCAATCTCAATCGGAAGTGTACAGATAGTCAACCGTGAGGGGTTGGGCTTAAAACTCGAGCCATCCAAGCCACCAAAACGAATAATATCTTGACAGTGTTGTTACAAAATAATTCACATCTTGCTCTTTGACCCTCGTTGTCACTATTTACCATAGAGAATTTCTATTAATTCATCAATTTTTTGACTTGATTTGACCTCTCTCAGAGATTTCAAAGATCAATATATATATACATAGAGGACGTTTTGATCATATAAGATTTTATTATAGGGGTATATTATATTAACGGAAACAAAGATCACTTTAAAGATTACTAGGAATGTTTAGAAAATGTGTTTGGTTGGTTCGAATAAATTGGTGAATAATATGTTTGGTTGGGAGGATAAATGGGCGGGTATGTTCTATAAATTCCTAAATTGCCCTCCTTTATAAATATTAATATAATAGTATTTATTATTTTATTTTTTTTAATCATTTCTTTAAACCCCCTACATTTGAAATTTTGCTAAAACATCCTAGCCAAATAAAACTTTAATTTGTAGCAAAATCACCACCACCCACTCCAAGCCACTGCTGATAACTAGCCACCACCGTCAGCCACCGCCGATCGTCGTCAACTGTCGACGGAATGGTGCACGATTAGCCGTATATGGTCGGCCGTGTGCTAGCAAAGCCGGAAATGATCATGGATCACAAATCCATGGCCAAAAAATGACCAGATCTATGGCCATTTCACAACCAAAGACGTGGCCGTGAAACGACCATAGAAATGCCAGATCCGGCCATTTTCGACCATGGATCTGTGATCCATTGTCAGAAAAGGCGATTGACGCTGGCGGCCGGCGGTGGTGAGTCACGACCAACGGTGGTCTTGGGTGGCTGGGGGTATTTTGTTAACTTTTAAACTTTTTTGTGGTTGGGGTATTTTAGCTAATTTCTCAAATATAGAGGGATTAGATATTTGTTATTTGGTAGACATTTGAGGGCAATTACGTCCGAAATGGTTTTTAATTAAGAGCAAAATGGATAGAAAAATCAGATTACCCAGTAATATTTTAATAACATCCCTTAATAAGGTAATAAGATTACTTCCCACATTACCAACAGTAAATACTATTTGCAATAAAAGATTATCGTAATATTTTATTACTTGCAAGCCAAATACTAGAATCTTACAAAATAAACAAAGATTACTCCCATTTTCTTATATACCCCTATCCAAACGGCCCATATGGTTAAAATTTATTTACATATACATTATCTTCTACCAAGAACCAAATCCATATGTTAAAAGTTGAAAGGTCAAAAGTATATTCGAATAAGGGTAATGCTATGCGTACTAATAGATTCTACTAACCAGTGTACTAACATTTGCTAAAATTATATATGGTATCCGTACTATGCATATAGTACCCATACTATGCTTTAGGTTAGTACACTGGTTAGTAAAATCTGTTAATACGCAAAGTATTATTGTTCGAATAAATAATTCGACTCAAACCGCCTCATCAATCAATCAACCATGTGATTCCTCAAATTAAACTGTAGGTGCAGGCAGAGAGAAAGAGTAAGGAGCTCTTGTTTACGTACAAATACAATGGGGAAATCTTCCCGGGGGCTACCATGCATCCATATCAATGGTTAATTTGAAGTAATTAAATTCTGATTAAACTTACCAAAGAATCATGGTTGATGATGACCCATGAAAATCCAGTCCTGCCTCGGTCAGTACGTGAGTTTACAACAATATTTGTATATATCTTTTTGTTATTTGGGGACTAGAGGTATCGCACCAGATTGTGCATACCCAACTAATTTCATTATTAATTAAGTACAGGAGCTTCTTGCAAGCATAATTCATACACAAAGTTAAAAAAACTTAACCAGCATACAGGAGGAAACAGATTTTGAATTCAGGGTGATCCTCCTCCGAAACCTCCACCGGCACCAGCACCACCCCCTGCACCAGCACCACCACCACCACCACCAGGGAGACTGCCACCGCCTCCACCGCCTCCACCACCACCACCACCACCACCACCACCAAGCCCTCCTACTCCAGACCCAAACCCACCTCCAGCTCCTCCTCCAAAACCAGAACCACCACCTAGCCCATCCCCTCCTCCGCCACCAAATCCTCCTCCTCCACCTCCTCCACCTAAACCGGCACCTCCACCACCAAACCCTCCTACTCCAGACCCAAACCCACCTCCAGCTCCTCCTCCAAAACCAGAACCACCACCTAGCCCACCCCCACCACCTCCACCGCCACCAAATCCTCCTCCTCCTCCACCGTCACCACCAAGACCCCCTCCTCCATAACTTCCAACTCCTGGTGCACCACCTAAACCGGCACCTCCACCGCCAAACCAATAACCTCTCATGTTGAAGAAAGTTTTCTGCTCGTTAACACCACCTCCTTTGTTCGCAATTAACTTCCTAGCATCAATGCTGCAAACAAATGCACCAAGAAGCACCAAAACAAGAACCTTATTCACAACCATATTGAAATAATGCTAGAGAGATATCTTGTGTAACGCAAAAGTCTAGTCCAGCATGGATGTACATATAAATGATTGAGAATTGAAATGAGGACAGAAAATTTTACAATCTCTTTAATGTTGGAGTTTAAACGTCGTGTCATCGACAATCCGTGCATGCGCAGACACACTTATCAGCATACCGGATGTTTTGTAATTATCAGCATACAGGAGAATCAGTAAAAGCATTTAAATTCCTTCATCAACTGTTTCGGGCCATAATTTTTTGTCTCCCTTATAAGTCATCGTTGATAAGATAAAACAAAGTGGTAAGCACTAAGGTTGTTGCAACAGAAGAAGAGAGAACACAGCCATGTGATGAACATAATTAACTAGCACTAGATAGTCAATAGGGGTCCTCTCTCAGGAGGATTTAATTGCCAACATAAAATAGGTGAAGGACCATCAAATTTAATGGCCTACAAAAGATAGTTACCGACACTTTGATATGTCTTCTTGGGAACTAATTAAGCTGATAACTCTTATCTCCGATCAGGTTCTGCATTAACAGAACTCTGTAATATATTCAGTGAACACAGTCTCAGAATATCTCAATGCTCAAAATCCCGAATTTGATCATATATATATATATATGGCTGGTGTTTATATATATATATATATATATATATATATATGTGAACCATCAAGTGAACTAATTAAGAATTACGTACACCTAATATTCAATAATCATAGCAAAGGCTGCTTATTACTGCAGATATTATGTCAATAAATATTGTATTTTGATTTTATAAGATTGAATAAATCCTATCATTAACTATGTTTGGTTAACCGAGTGATTTGATAGAGACTCTTAAGTGTATTACTCAAGAGATCCTGAGTTCGAGTCCCTTCTCGGTTGCTAATAGGGATGGCCACTGAAGCTCTTACCCGACTAGTAGTTCCAAGGTCCCAAGGGATTAGTTAAGGTATATGTAAACTGGCCCGAACACTCTGTCATTAAAAAAAAAAAAAAAAAAAATCACATCATTTAACATGTAGGTTAATCTTTTAATAGTTGTTCTATAAGATATAATAGACGAAATCAATATATATAACCCCTATGCAATTCTCATGTCATGACCATGGCCCATAAATGGGCCTGCCCTTAATTAAACAGATTCCCCCTCCTTCCTGGAAAAAAGTTAAGATTCCCTCGTTCCCCTCTTCATGGAGAACATATATAAAGGAAAAAAGAGAATTTTATAAGTTTTGTAGTTTGTAGAAATGAAACAAAATACTTTTCCACCAGTGAAGCATCAAAATATGATATGCCAAATAAATTAGGTTTGTTGGTTTTAGGAGAAAATCTATACTATCACAATAGTATCAGATAAATATTATAACAAGTATTAAAAGTACAAAACCAAAATAATTATAAAAATGGAAGAAAAAAAAATAATCATACCTGATATAGTGATAATGATTTGTGGTATAACTATTATATATTGTTGGTGTCAAAGTCTCACATTGGTTAGAAGATGAGAGATCTTAGTCACTTATATAGCACAAGAACATCTCACCACCTAGAGGCCTTTTTTTAGGATAAAACCGCGTGGGTTTTAGTGCCCAAAATGGACAATACCTCTGAGAACTCACTTATATCAACAATCTAAGAGACTTAGAGTACCTCTGAGAATCCACTTCATCAACAGTCTAGAAGACTTGGAATACCTTTAAGAATCCACCTACATCAATAGTCTAAGAGACCTAGAATACCTTTGAGAATCCACTTACATCAATAGTCCAGGAGACCTGGAATACCTTTAAGAACCCACCTACATCAACAGTCCAAGCGACCTGGAATACCTTTGAAAATTCACTTACATCAACAGTCCAAGAGACCTAAAATACCTCTGAGAATCCACTTACATCAACAGTCCAGGAGACCCGAAATATCTCTGAGAACACATCTACATCAACAGTCCAGGAGACCTGGAATACCTCTGAGAACCCACATACATCAACAATCCAGGAGACCTGGAATACCTCTAAGAACCCATCTACATGAACAGTTCAAGAGACCTGAATATCTTTGAGAACCCACCTACATCAATGCATCAACAGTCCAAAAGACCTGGAATACCTTTGAAAACCCACCTACATCAACAGTCCAAGGTCCAAAGCCAGGTGTCGAAAGCTAGGTCCCTTGGGAACCATCGACCATGTGCCTAGATCCGACATACATCAACATACATCTATGTGATTTTTAAGATTTTTCCTAATTCTATGTAGGAAGATTTTGTTCAAGCTTAAAATAAAAGGCACATATGCGTGTCGTTTGAATAATATGCTCACTCCCACAAGTACATGAACGAATTGTCGCTTGGAATTTCGACAGACTTGTTGTCAACCTACTTTAGAGTTTCTTTAAAATGCTTTGTCAGGATTAATTAGTCAGCATTTTTTCTATGTAAATTAATTATAGAACGACATGAATTAATAAGAACATAATTAAGAAACGATAAATTTCTGAAGTTCCAAACTGTTTGTAACCATTATGTTAATGAATTTAAGCAAGAGTGAGGTCAAGAGAGACCTCATTTACATCAGCTTTGCTCAGCTTTGACAATGGAAGGGAATTATCTTTTGACGCTAAAGATAAAGAAGTTGAGCCACAATCAGCTGCTCTCCCTGCGCCACTCACACCCAAATCATGTAATCTTTGACAACAGCTGCCAGGAATAGCCATTTTTGGTGTAACATTTTCTTCCTCACATCTCATCTCCTGAAAGGTAAAATGGAAGAAACCAAGTTTAGAGTAGAGAGTTTGGGGTTTCCATATGTATGTGTTTGTTTTGTGTGTGAAGAGAGAATTTTACATGCTGGGGATTGCAGCTTTTCAGCAGGTCCTTGAAGATAATGTAAGAATTTGGTCGATGCTCCATTATCCCTTTACTTGTAATTACTTCCTCCCTTGATGATAATGCTTCACTCATCACTCCCTTTCCAATCCACATTTCCCCATTTTCTTTCCTGTTGATACACATAAAGCATGAAAAATTATGGCAACAGATAAAGCAATTAATGCAAGTCAAATTCAAAAGCTCTTTCCACCGACAGATTTGACTTCTAAATATTCCAAAATGTACTACAGTTGTTAAATAAAATAATTAAATACATCTCACAAAGACACAAACCAGTGATCCTGTGAGGTGGTGGTATTCCTGAGAGCCAGCCCTTCAATACGATGAGTTCCAAAGCTTTGATGAATATTTCGTAATGAGTTGTTTTTTATCAGCTTCACATACCAGAGGTGATGATTCTGTGGGCAATAGATCGGATCAACCACCACTTGATCATTTCTCTTTGCAGCCTTAGTTGCTTCTGCAACCAGAAATTAATCACAATTAATACAAACTTTAGATTAATTAATTAATTAACACAAAAAAAGGATCATATTAAGTAAGAAAGTTTGTTTGAAGAACAATTAATTAATTAATCTGAAACTGTCAGAAAACCAGCTATATATAACATAATGTCATGTTGAAAGTTCTTGGAAGTCATAATTAGCCTTTTAATTATTTATATTACCTTGTATCATTTGTTCATGCTTCATGCTTCTGTACATCTGGTTCATGTCAAATCCAAACGTCAGATAATTGTGAAAACTAATTCTTAAAATCAGTACTCACCTGAAAAATGAATTACAGGAGATAATTAAATTCTGGGATTAATGGGAAAGAAATGTAAACCTGAAGATGGCTCTTCACGTGAGATATGGTGAGGCCTTTCACGTTCATCACCTGTAAAACCATCTTCGGAGTAGCTCCTGTAAATTAAACACCAGAATTAAATAAAATGAAAGAAAATCATAACTAGGGAAAGTTATATGATGAGAGATTGAGAGAGCTTACTGTCTTCTCCACCTAAAAGTTCAACTGCATGAACAAAGCAGAGATGGAGGTCAGGAGTCCAGCGAAGGCGAGGCATTTTCGATCGAACATAAGGCCGAACAAAAGGCGATTTCAAGCTTCTTCCTGATAGACTCATAGTATGATTATTACTATTATTATCACTATTGCTTCGTTTTGTAACGCTCATATTTGAAGATTGTGAACACTCTCCTCCTCCACTCTCGAGAGAAGAAGAAGGAGACTTTTTATCAAGAGAACCATCTCTCTCTGCAGCATCTTCGACCCTCTTCATTGCTATACTTGAAAAGGAGTTATTCTGTGTTAACATGAAACAAAAGAGAATAAATACTAGTGAAGACTCCGCTGCATCAACCCTTGTCTTTATCTGCAGCTTTAATTCTCTCATCCTCTTTTAAAGGTCTGTTTAGTCTATAGGAGTTTCGATTACAAAAAGGAAATTTTGCACACGGAATTTCAGACTTTACAAAAAATTTTAAATTTGACTTTATGATTGGGTGAAAATTAGAGGTGAAAAGTTTTAATTAATTTTACAGAGGATTCATTCATGGTGAAAACTTTATAAACTGATGATTCTGATCAGACTGCAAAAATATTTTAATTGATCTGTCAATCTGTCATCACAATATTCTTCTTGAGGTCAGCTTTAGTCAAATAAGACAAGCAAAGGAACTCTCTTGACATAGTAAAAAGTAAGCATGCAATGGAAGTCCGAGTTTCAATGTTCAAATCCCCACACACACAAAATTACAGGCAAACAAAGGGTTATAAACAAAAAATAAATCAAACCCTTCACCCAGAATTAATCTAAAACGCAACAACATATTACATCATTTATATATCTGTTCAAGACGGTTAATTCTTTTGCACGTCGTGATGTAAGAGGGCTTTCAAAAGCTAACATACCGAGAAACATCATTACTTCAACTGTCTTTGATCAATTCATTCCTTACAAACATAGCTCCCCTTATCCCGGCCAACAACAAGCCAAAGACTTGATTGAACAAAGAGTGTTTCATTCACATTACTGAGTCTATCCTAAAGAAAACAAAGAGTGTTTCAAAGCCACGTAGACATGCGTCGCATGTCGAGAATTCATAGTGTGATGACACTTAGCCCTCGAAGCGTCACCATTGGTGGTGGAATTAAGGGGTTATATATATATATATAAAAGAAAGACTAATCAAATATATATATATTTTTTTTTTTTCTCAGATGGAGCCAAAAAGGGTGAACAAATTATGGATGTCACGATGTGGAAATTTGATAAGAAGAGGTGCGGAGAAAGCTGGAGAATTCAGGCAGATCATGAGAAGGGCGGTTTCAAATAAGGAAATATTCTTTTGGACGGATTTGGCAGAAACAAGGACAAGTGTGCTGATATGAAATTGTGATAGCGTAAGCATAAGCATGCACCAATAATAATAATGGTATGGCGATATATATGTTGTCTCGAAGAAGGAGGTAAAGGTTGCTACACCCTTTTCGAATCTTTTTTCTCATCCGTTTCTTTACTGGCTTAGCCGGTGTTCAGTGATTCAAGACAAACGAATTTGTTGCTTCCATTAATGATCACAACCATCTTCTTTTAAGAGAATTTGGGGGGTTTCATTTCAAATCCATATTCCTCCTTCACTTTATGAATTTGTTTCCAGCTAGCTTTTTACACAAATCTATACCTTTAACTCTAATTTAGGTTATCTTTGTATTAACCATCTAAAATGCGAAACTTGTTTATTGATGGTAATAAATAAATGGTTTATTATTGTCGTTTTATTATTAATATTTGTAACCGACATTTACACCTAAAAATTCTTGATGGAATATAAAAATATAGTTGTTGATCTCACTGATGTTAAAAGTTCACGCAGCTGAAAATATACATTTAAAATAAATAACATAGGAATAAAATCACACTATACAAGGAGATACAATATTTATGTGATTCGGTATAACCTGTCTACATTCACGGATGAGAAAAATTCATTATAGTTTCACGAATACAATGCACAAGAGTACAAAATACCATAAACCTGGTATATAATTAACAGAGCTGAAACAATCCTAGTTTCTAACCACGATCAACTTAGTATCTAGAGCGGAAACAATCCAGTTTCTAAGACACTCTACCCATGGTGTTTAATAATTCTTACATCAAATACCATGTGTTCGCACATTCTCTCATAACCTTAAATTGGTTTTATTAAATAGTCTTCCTAAAGACATACAATTTTACATGTAAACAAATAGGAAAGCGAGCCACAATATCCCAGTAATTGATATAGTGCTATAGGAGTAATGACTAATACTCAAGATTTCTATTAGGGTAAATATATATGTATTTGTTCAATTACGTCGAGTTTATACGTCAAGCATCTTAATTTTTTGAAACAGTGGATCCGAGCCAGCTTGCGTGTATCTTAATTAATCTTTGTAAGTGACTATCACAACATTCCACTGTTATAATTATCCACTCTTGGGATCATGCATCTTAACCACACATCCCAGCATTCGTCCTATCACTTGAGCTACCTAAGGGTGGGTTTATAATAAAGTAATATACGTTGTGAAAATGTGTTTAGATCTAACTAATAATAGGATTTATTAATCATTAAATTTAATTTAGTCGTGGAATGGAAACGGGAGTTGTATTTTCAAAGAGAAAAGAATTCTCCCACTTCTTGATTTTATTTGCTTTTCGTGGGACACCGACATATGGCTTTGAAATTCATGCTTCTTAGAAGATATGGTTTATCTAATAATTCAAAATTTCATTGATTCAACCATTGAATATATGGTAAACCGGTCCTATCGATTAAAGAACACTTAACTTATTTAATTTATTTCAATTACAATCATTATAATGGTGATAATTATGACCCCATTTTGCTAAGCTCATCATCACAAACTTCCAATTAATTTTAATTACAAATATTATAATGGTAAAATAGTAAAAGTTAATTACAAATATTACAAAATGTTAACTATCACTAGATGACCCAATGGTAAAACAGTAAAAGGAGCTTCCATAAACTCTTGAGTTCGAGTCTTCCCAAGCATTACTAGGGGTAGCCACTAAGGCTCTTACCCGGCCGACAGTTCCAAAACCAAAGAGAATTAGTTGAGAAATGCACAAGTTGACACAAACACCCCTAGTGACTAAAAAAAAAATAATGTGAAATGTCAGAGAGGGGTAGCCACTAGGGTTCTTACATGACCGACAATTACAGGGCCTAGAGAATAAAAAAAAGAAAAAAAAAAAAAACCCCAACCCCAAAAAAAAAAAAAAAAAAAAAAAAAAAAAAAAAAAAATTAGTTTGAAATGTCAAAGATGTGACCACGATGATGTCTAAACGTATTTATAGCAAAACCTTTTGGCAAGGGAAGAAAATCAAACTATCATCAATTCACCTTAACCATCTCATATATCTAGGGATGAGTAAGTTTAAACCATTGTTTAAAAACCCAGCCTGGCCTGGTCGATTGAATCGGTTGAACCAGGACCCGGAAGCTTCAACGGATCAGGTTTATGTTTTTCCTATTCACCCAAAACCCTAAGATTTGGGAGGATGATCAGCGAACAATTGCCGGCTAGGATATTGGGGCTTTTGAAGAGAAACTACTGGTGAATGCAATGGTGGTGACGACGTTGATTTTCGGTGAGTAAATCTACCGGAAATCAAACAAAACTGACAGTGGCAACAACCGGTTTTTGCCAGCAATTGGCAAAGCTAACAGCGGTGGAGTAAGGTGGGTTTTGGTCGGGAGAAAAGGGGAGTAATTTCTGGGTGATGGGGAAGGTTTTTGACGCCGGCATTGATGAGATCTGGCCTGGAATGCCGACGCCAGCGTCAGTGAGATTTGGTCAAAATTGAACATATTTCGGCTAAATCTTAGGTATGTTTTAAGGGGAATGGGCTCAAGGGATGATTAGGGTAGCATCTGGGGTGTCGCCGCCGCCAACCAGTTGCCAGCCAATTTGTATTTGGGGTGTGTTTGCTAAATTTCAAACCTATAGGGATGGAACGTAATTTTTAGGGGTGTATTTGCTGAATTTAAAAGTTTTTGTCAACCGGTTTGACCACCGGTTAAACTGGTCAACCCGAGACCCGGCAACTTTGCTGAGTTTCACCCTGGGTTGGGTTTTAAAACGTTGTTTTAAACTATATATATTATAAATTTCATTCAGTAAAATTTATTTGGACCTCATACTCATCGAACTTTACACGCGGTCAAACCGGTCAACCTGAGACCCGACAACTTTGCCTGGTTTCACCTCGGGTTGGGTTTTAAAACATTGGTTTAAACTATATATATTATAAATTTCGTTCACTAAAATTTATGTGGACCCCGTACTCATCGAACTTTACACTTCAATACCCTTAAAAGGCTTAAGTGCAATTTTCTTAATCAATTTTTTATACATTGATCTCCCTCACTCGTTAAACATTTTCTCTATTGCATTTTCGTCCACCCCAAAAACTGCGCTAATTCCACAATGAGCCCAATTAATTACTCTTATCCTTCAAAAATTCTTGCGTCATTACCATAAGCATATTGTTGTATTAGAAGTTTCTCATTGGAATTCTAGCACTGCATGCAAGTTATATTGCATCAATTGAAGATCCGTCTGTGAATTTGAAGCAGCAAAAACAAGCTTTTTCTCATTGGAATTCTAGCACTGCATGCAAAGTTATATTGCAACAATTGAAGATCCGTCTGTGAGTTACAGAAACAAACACAAAGGAAAAAATAACTCAAAGCTCAAGTTGAGCTTTCTTGTAACTACTTGCCGGCAATCAATATTTAGTTGTTACTATGATAACCAGTTAAGCATGTCACCCTCTCGTGACACATTCTGCGGCTAGCTAGCTAAGTTCAGAAAGGCCTCGTGTGACGGCCTCTTGCCCGGCCGCAAAGAAGAGCGTTCTTTGGAATTGGAAGTTCATCTCTCCATGAATTTGCAGAAGAGTAAACTCTGAGATAGAATTGCTGACCCAAGTACTGCCTTGACCAGTTCTCAGATCTTATGTTCCACATCCCCACATTGTCCAGAGCCATGTATATTGCAGTCCATGACCTGGGATAAACCTGCATTTTTATCAAACAGATTCATCATAAATGACATTATCTTTCATGAGTTCTTGTGCCTGAAAGAATCCAATCTTTCATACCTGAGTGGTGCATCGAGCAACTGTGTCTCTCAGATTGTAGCGTGCTCTACTTGCTGGTGTCCACTGCCCACCATCCATCCTAATCATTTGCATACATTTTTAATATTTTGAGGGAAGTTAAAGCAAATTATGTATTATCACGGTTCATGTAATGATGTAAAATGAGCTCACCCAACAACAAAGAAAGAATAACCATCAATGTGATAGGACTGCACAGTGTCTTCCCAGTTTTGGAAGATGATCTCGACGAATTCACGGAAGTTAGCAGACATGACTGTGGTCTGAAGATATGCATTTCCCCAATTGGGACTGCTGGGCATGCTTCCAAGGTTGAAGACTCCAGGAATCTTGAAGTAGTCCGCTAGTTTTAATGGAGTGTCTGGTGAAATATATGAGACACTATTGATAGCATAACGCTGCTTGCCATTAATAAAAGGAGCAGAGTTTGCAAGGGTGATTGTCCGGCTAATTTTGATCATTCCATAGTGGTAAGAGCCTTGAGGATTAGGCCTCGGTCCACTCGCGGTCAAATTCCATCTGGTATAGGGCACAAAGAAAGCAGCGATATTAGGAAAATTTAGAGCATAGAAAATTGGTTCAGTTTAAATCTACTTCTAAATGAATGTACAGCTAATTACCGGATTGATCTGGCCTGGTTGAGGGACCAATCAATCTGAGTAGTAGGACCTCTAGGGATTGGACCGGAGACACCTATGCGCGAATTGCTGTAATGAAGAATGGAAGTAGTTGTGAGCACAGGAGTGGTGAAGCGCGACGAAACAACAATGTAGTAGTCCTTTGCAGGCTGATCTGCAGTGACCAAGACAGAATAGGATTGCCCCAGATGAATGTCAAGTGCAGCGTAGGTGTTCTGTAGTGTATGAGAACCCTCCACTTCTACCAGTTTCATCTTGTGTCCTTGTATCCTGAAGTTAATTGAAGTTGCAATCCCCACATTGGATATCCTGAACCTATATGTTCTGCCTGCAAACACAATTCAATGATGTTAGCGCACGATGAAACAATTGGGATCTCATTTCTTGAAACGTTATTAATGGATACCTGGATCAACTGTGAATGTGTTTCCATTCCATCCACGACCATTAATGAGAAGTCCATCAGGGTTAGGAAGCTTTCTACCGGCGTCCAAATAACGTCTTAAAATCTATAAAATTGGAGCGAAACCAATGTTAAACAATGCATATTAAGTTTCCAGTCAGTCGATCCACATATGTGCTATGATATGAAATTAAAGCCGCCTTACATAATGGTTTGTCTTGTACCAGTCTCCAGCGAGTACAATGAAATCATTAGCAGGAGGGGGGAAAGGCACAGGAATCTTCGGACGGCTCCAGATTCTAATGCTACCATATGCACCTGCAGCCTTATGCAACCCAAGTGAGGGGAAGTAGAAATAGCTACCAATCTGGTCCTTGGCTTGGAGCACATATGTGAAGTTTTTTCCAGGTGGGATTGGACAGGTGGTTCCATAAACTCCATCCTGCCATGAATTCCTTCTTTGCTGCAGCCCATTCCTGAAAAAACCAAGTGAATTTTAACCAAAGTCCAAAAGGCATCAATTAACTTAATTATGTTATTAAACTCCTTTTCAGTTAAAATGATTAACTATTTTAAGATATATTTTAGCTGTATCTTAGCTGGAATCTAGCAGGTCCAAATAAATTGCAGATAGAGTGAGAGGGTTATTGAATGCAAACTTAGATGTCAAAGAATCTCATGAACAACAGACCTGCATTGTGCCCTACTGCACATTGAATGACAGATCGATGAAAGAGAAAATAATCATAAAGAACCCGGACCCATAAACAGGCTAATATGAAAACAAATCAAGTTGAGATCAATTTATAATGAAGATTCAGAGAATCAGAGATCTAGCATGTGGGTATTAAAGAATCACCAATCTCAACATGAGGCCAGCTACACAAAGGACAGTATTTTACTACTGCTACAGGATTATTAGTTAATTAAGGCGTATATTAGTACATTTTTTAACTAAATGTCTTTGAAATCTTAACCAAAAATAGCACACAGACAGAACAATGTGGCTAGAAAGGGTTAGATTCAATCATGTCTCCATTCTGTATTTAACTTCTGTGCTTCTTTGGTTTTAACATTTAAAAAACAAAACCAAAGAAAGAAATATGCTAACATTTCTACCAATGGGAAGTTTTCATCCACAGATCTGCTAGCCAATATAATCCAATATTTTTCTGTTAAATCTGTTGATTCCTTAACATGAGCTTTAGAGTAACTCTTGTTTGGTTGCTGAGAAAATAACACATGATACACATTTGAGAACCAAATGGTGCTTATAAAAACAGGATTCATGAACTTCATAAAACATCTTTCACTTTTTATACATTTTCTTGGGAAAAAACCAGAAGAGAAAATAACACTGAAACAGATAAAAGAAAAGAAACAAAACAAGGCTCATAACACTTACCAAGAGATGAGAAATGGTTCTCTTAGATAATTGTAAACACTTATAATCAAGTTATCATTAGTAATTGCATCGATGTGAGGCCCTGGAAACAGCCCATTAATCAAGATTCCCTGCCACATTTTCCCACATTCAAGATTCAGCACTTTCTTTGCTTTCAAAAACAAAACTTTCTGCTTTCAAAACACAAAAAAAAAAAATAACCGTTCCAAGAACACAAAAGAGAAGTCTAGTTTACCTGTTGCTTAACACCAAGAGGGTAGATGTCACCGTACGTAATTTTCCACGTGATGAACCTGTAAGGATTGTCACCATTGACGCCATGAAGAACAAGGAACAAAACTAGAACAACGAGCGAACAGAGGACTCTGTTCTCTCTCATTTTCTTGAAGACTATTCTTCTCTTACTGTTTCTTTCTTCTTCTCTTTATGAATGCTCTCGAGAACTCAGAACTCAGTTACATTAACTTACAGAGATCCAAAGAACAACAAAGAAAGAGAAATGGGGTCTTAAAGACTTAATCTTTTCTTCTCTAAATCTATCTCACTTTCTTGTTCGTTCTTCCCAGTTTTATTTCTGAGCAGAGCACCTCTGCTTTGTTTCATTCTGTTTTGTAAGTATATGCACCAACTGAGAAGATGGCAGAGAGAGCAGACAAAAAAATGGCGTATGAGCTGTCAATAATTCTCTCAATTCAATGCGCAAGATCCGCTTCATTGTACGGTCTACTCTTATCACAAACCATTGATTCCAAATGGGTCCGAGATCAAAACATGGAGCCTCTCACTTTAATGGTGTATGATTAAACTGGAAGTTCATCTCAATGGAGGTGAGTGACAAGATTGGAAGTTGACTGTCTTCAATCACATGATTACCCCTTTCACGTGATGTGCTATTGGAAACATTGTAGGGTGGAGTTCAGAAAGGTTAAACTTAAAGAAAGATTATATATTATCATATGCAATATTTATTTCCCAGATGGGCAGTACTTTTACTATTCATGAAAATGATTCTGTAAAATGGACTCAGTTCTTCCGAGTTCCGACTATTATTGAGATATTTATATAAAAGTTGATATACTTTTTTACAGTAGGATTGAGATTGACAGATTGCGATGCGTGGCATTGTTGAATGTCCACCACCAAACTGGGGACAGCTAGTGGTAGAGACTAGAGAAGGCTATGATTTGGACGTGCGCAAACAAAGTTTAATGCGCCAATAAATGGACTTAACCTCTGGCCGACTTGAATGGAGACCCGGGAACCTGGTTAGGTATAATTCGTCCATATCCGTAGATATTGAGATGATTTGGTATAATTCGTCTATATCCATGAAGAAATTCATTATAACTTCGTGAAAACGAATATATAATATCATAAATATGATATATAAAATAAAGTAAAAATAATTTTAGTTTCTAGCCATACTCACCCTGATACCTAAAATAGAATCGATCTCAATTTCTAAGACTTCTCATGGTGTTTAATAATTCTGGTATCAAATATCTATGTTCTTACATTCTCTCGTAACTTTGAATTGATTCTCACCCTTGTATTTATAAATAATATATGAGATATTTTTTTTCTAATATAATTCATATTTCAATTCCTAATAAGAGTCATAAATTCTACTCCTATTTATAAATGTATTCTTTATTAAATAGTTTTCTTGAAGACATACAATTTCATATGAGAACAAATAAAAAAGCAAGCCACAATATCTTAACAATCTCCACCTTAGCGAGTTTTCCATCACAATGATGAACGTGAGTTTTCCATCATAACAAAGAACATGACGAAGATAATGTTCTACTATTACGGCATCCAAGTCACAGAGTAACCTTGTCCAATTTCGCCAGCATTCAATTCACATAGTACCATGTCAAATTTTGCCACCAAGATTTCAGAACCACTCCACCTACAACTTAAACTCGTTGTAGTTCATCTCTTGTGTGCATCCACCATCTCGAAAGAACTCATCTCCCAGGTCGCAATATAGAGCTTTGATACCACTTGTTAGGAGATCGCGCAACGAAAAACATACATTCAAGATTAATAACATAGGAATAAAATCACAACACATAAAAAGACACGATATTTACATGGCTCGACATAACCTACCTACATCCACGGATGAGAGAAATTCACTATAGTTTTATGAACACAATATACAAAAGTACACAATACCATAAACCCGATACATAAAACAGAGCAGAAACAATCCTAATTTCTAACTACAATCAACTTAGTACCTAGAGTGAAAACGATCCCAAAAACTAAGACACTCTCTCCATGGTGTTTAATAACCCTTACATCAACTACCCTATGTTCTCACATTCTCTCATTTTTTCATAGCTTTGAATTAGTTTTCAATCTCATATTTATAGGTAATATATGAGATATTTTTTTTCTAATAGGATTTATATTTCAATTCTTTATAAGACTCCTAAATTCTATTCCTATTTATAATTATATTCTTTATTAAATAATTTTCCTAAAGACATATAATTTCACATGCGAAGAAATAAAAAGGCAAGTTCCAATATCCCAAGTCTATGTTATCTCTTCACTATTATTACTAGAGAATCCTTTATTACCTCTTCACTATTATTACGGGAGAAACCAAATTATGTTAGGAATTCTAACAATTCCAGTGTGCAAAGCAAGGGTCCATCCCATGGGAATTTGGGAGCTATTAATCAAAATTCAATAATGTGCAAAGTCAGCCAAGATAATGAAATTAAAATAAATAATAAAAAGGACCAGCAAACTAAATTAATCTAAAATCACAATAAAAACAGTAAAAATGCTAGATTTACCAAATATAACAAAACTAAACTCTAAATACCAAATGTAACAAAAACAATGACTAATCAAAGATTAACAAGTGGGAAACGGTCTAGTGTATCTAATTTCACCGTAATCCTCATACTCTATGTTATTAATCTAACTAACATTATCTCAATCCAACTCTTACGGTTGATACTCACTAAAATAAGGTATTACCGTGGGTGCTTGGATTTAACCTAGACCCAATTTTAGGATGCAATTTGTTCTCGGCTTAGTCATATCTTTTTTTTTTTATGATCGGGTTTCTAGGCTAATTTATTTATACCTCAACTAATCCATTAGGATCCTGAACTATCAGACGGGTAAGAGCTCCAGTGGTCATTCATATTAGCAATCGTAGGGACTCGAACTCAGGGCCACTCCTATTAGCAACCGTGTGGATTTGAATTCGAAAGACCATGTTAAATCGTCTTCTTGCTTTTTTACCGTCAAGGGGACTCACCCAATGGTGATTAGCTTAGTCCTACGTTGAAGTAAAGGAAACCCCAAAATCAAAGAGTACCCAGATGCCCCAGATTCCAGGGTGGATGACCTCCATTAAAATGAGAGTAGAATGACAGAGAGATGGAAGGATAATATGATGATTCTGGCATAATAAGCATAAACCGATTGTGCAATTGAAGAACTAGGTAATTTGAAATTTCATTGAACAAGGCATATTCCTGATACAAAACCGAATACTCTGTCAAAACGCTTTGACATAAATTTGTATCTAGTTCTAATTATAAAGTAAATCTCTAACCTTCTAAATAACGTAAATTTAATTACATAATTTCACTAACGAGGGAACTCTCACTTCCCAAAAAGGTCCCTCTCATAATATCTACGCACCATCGTCTCCTCAAGGGATAAAGCCATATTGTCTCTCAACTCCTCCATACAAGCCCTCCTTCTCTCTAGTTCCTGCAACTCCAATCCCTCTATGTCCTCCTCCCACCAATACTCCTCCTTCTCTTCTTCTCCTTCTTCTTCTTCTTTTTCTCCGCCCTCTTCCGCCGCTTCTGCGGCGGAATTCTCTGATACACAATCACAATTCTCTTCATGATATAAGGAAATAGACCCTCTTTCATCATCCACATTGTATTTATTTTCATCATTGATATATTGATTTTGATCTTCTGGTTGTTGTCGTTGTTCATCTTCTTCACTCTGAAATTGGTCAATAACACCGTCAACAGACGGGTAGCCATAAGTATAAACTCTACCTTTGGGAGAAAACACAATTATGGCAATCATCGCATCACATAACCGGCAAAGTTCACCACCCTTTTTAAACAAACCTTTTCGTCGCTTCGAAAATGCAACTTTTCGACTTGAATTCTTCTCTATTTTCTTCATCTCAATCTTCTTCCTTCCTGTACCATTAGGTTTCTTCTTTATTCTAATCTGCTCTGGCTCCTGCTCCTGTGTCTTCTCCGCGGAAGACGACGACATTGTAATGGTGCAATAAACTGTTAAAAAGAAAAGTAAGCAGCGAGATTTATTTGCAGAGAGAAATTAACATGGATGAAAGTAAAAAGTGCACCCTTTTGGAGGGTGGAGATTCTCTGAACGTATTTATGCATGTAAATTGTCAGCCTTTTATGGGAATTGGTTTCGTATAAAAATAGGGAAGTTCGAGGAGATTAAGATAAACATTGTTGAAAGAGTTCGTTTAGAATAAGGAATAATATGGAAACAAGTCGGCCACTTTCATTATAAACATAAGTTAGGGAAAGTTTCTTTTGACTTCCCTTTTTTTGACCCTTTTACATTAATAAAGTTTTTTATTTAGAATTTTGATATGATTTTTATTTCCTTTTTTAAATTGTTCCTAAAAACTTGTGGTTTTGTTTAAATAAGGAATTTATTATTAGATTTGGAAAAAATAAGTTTGTTACCATATAATTTACAGAGTAGATGACTTTTTCCCACCCAATTAATGGCTTAATGATATTTTCTTACCTACAAACTTTTAAAATGCCACTTTTTTCAATTTCTCACCTATCTCGCCAATTGCCGGCCAATTTCAGTATCGTTGCGACTCCAAATCACCACCATTCTCTTCTCTGATTATCACTCACTAAAACCCCTTAAACCTTACTCTCACTAACTCTAACAATAGTCGATAATCGAGCGATTAGGGTTTACATAGTCGCTCCTCCCAAGTTAAATTTCGACCAATCACAACCACTAAAAAACTCATCAGTTTCTTCTCTTCAAAAGCCCTAACAGAATGGATTAAGTTTACTCTCCGTTCGTTGCCAAATCGGGAAGTGTATTTTTTGGGTGGGAAAGTGGTATTTTAAAAGTTTGTGGGTGGGACAGGTTCATTAAACCATTATTTGGGTGGGAAAAAGTCGTAACTCTAATTTATAATATTAATGTTTTAATTAAACAATGTAATTAATCTTAATGTACATCCTATTTTAGGGTGGTTTTTTGTTCCACTATAGTACAATGACTCTGTTGAATCAATATACATGAATATTTAATTTGCATTGGCTGGACATTAACAAGAAAAAGCCTCTGGAATTTGTACAAAATACAGTGAATCACCAGACAAGAAACAGCATATTTCATGACAATCAGTTGATTCTCTTAGCATTAATCGACCATGGATTCTATATTAAGAAAGAAATTAAAAGAAGCCGGAAAACCCTGTTCCTGTAATGGCTAAGAAGCCGGTGAAGTTGATCAATGAAGGATCCTCTGTGAGTCTTTGGCTGCAGAAACTTTCTGTTTCTCTATTTCATGTCATCTCATTTGATGTTCTTCCTGCAGGTCATTCTGGACAATGGTTTGGTTCGGCTCACGGTGTCGAAACCTCAAGGGTATGTCACCAGCATCAAGTATGGTGGAATGGACAATCTTTTAGATCGCGAATTGAGTGAATCTAGTAGAGGGTAAGTTTCAAAATGCCACATTAGTATCTAAACTTCAATCCCATTTGAATATTTTAGTCCAATTTGGCATTTACCCTGCTGTTTGTACATAACTTGCAGATATTGGGATATCAACTGGAGTTTGCCTGGTGGCCAGGACAGATATAAATTGTATATTGCCTCTGATTACTTTACTTTGATGAGTTTGCTATGACTTGAAAGGCTAATTCTCTTGCATAACACAGGCTGAGTGGAGCTGAATATAGTCTCATTCATATGAGTAATGATAGTTTAGAAGTTTCATTCAAGAGTTCTTACAATCCATCATCTCCAGGAGGCAACAAATTGCCACTCACTGTTGACATAAGGTCACATGTTCATATTATATTTTTCTTTGAGACTGGACTTACATGTCAGTATGTAAATTTTATCAGTGTTTTTGCTCTTTATATAGGTATGTATTGAGGAGTGGAGTTTCAGGGTTCCACTGTTATTCGATATATGAGCGTCCTCCGGGATGCCCTGCCTTTGATCTTGCTCAAACAAGGATGGTGTTTAAGTTGCGGCGAGACCGGTTAGATTTTACCACTCTAATGAAAATTCAGCTTATTGTTTACAAAAACAGGTACTTAAATTTTGAGTTTCAAAACATTGGAGCAGGTTCCACTACATGGCAATCACAGATGAAAAACAAAGAGTAATGCCAATGCCGGAGGACTTACTTCCTGGTAGAGGCAAACAGCTGATTGTTCCTGAATCAGTTTTGTTAGTAAATCCCATCAATCCTGATCTCAAAGGCGAGGTGGGTATTAATGCAAAACCTTATGTGTCTTTTTTTAATCCTTTAAGTGAACTCTTTATCTCATCTATGGGTGATTGAATTGAATTATTGCAGGTTGATGATAAGTACCAGTACTCAATGGACAATAAAGATGGAGGAGTTCATGGATGGATAAGCTCTCGCAGCCCCATAATCGGGTTCTGGGTTATCTTTCCCAGTCATGAATTTCGAAATGGTGGCCCTACTAAACAAAATCTCACTGTTCATACTGGTCCAGCATGTTTAGCAGTAAGTTACTGTCCAATTAAACTTTAACTTTGATGATTTTTCAGAAATGTCAAGGCTGATAAAGGCAATTTGTTTTTAGATCAAATTCTAACTTTGTTAACATTATGTTTGATGAATAATAAATTATAAAAACAATGAAAAATCATTATATAATATAATTGATATAATCTATAATTTAATTTAATGAGAAATTGGACAAGCCATATACTATCCATCTTAGAATTAATAATAATATTTGAAGTATGTGTTAGGATCCCACATTTAGAGGAAAAAAAAAAAAAATAGGTGGGCATGTGGTTTATAACGGCTTAGGCACCCTATCTTGGTAAACCGGTTTTCAATAAAAGTTATACTTAAGTCCACAGAAGAACCACTATCCAACTCTTTTCTTATCAAATGCCCACTGCTCAAGCCTAATACCTATCAATTTAAGAGTGAGTTCCTATCAAATGATATCAAAGCAAACCCCAACCTAGAGTGAAGCCGTCCAGAGTGGACCAACGTGCCCTTTTCTTATCAAAGGCCCACTACTGAGCCCAAAGTGAAGCTTCCCAAGCAAATGGTATCAGAGTCAAACCCCGACCTAGAGTGAAGCTTTTCAATGAGAGTTCAACACAAACCCACAAAAGGACCACTCCGACCTAGAATGAAGCTTTTCAATAAGAGTTCAACACAAACCCACAAAAGGACCACTGTCTAACCCAATTCTTATCAAAGACCCGGTGCCCAACCCAATTTTATTAATTTGGAAGTGGATTCCTATAATATGATAACTAAATTCTCATCGGAAATTAGATGAGCCATTTACTACTCATCTTAGAACATTCAAGTTAAAGCCTCTGTAAATATTGTTTTCCATAGCCAAGAAAAAACAGTTTGAAACCACTAATGAAAATCTAATTAGAAAATGCATGGAGTTTTTTTCTGCAACAGATGTTTCATGGAACACATTATATTGGAGACGACATCTTAGCTCATTTTAAGGAAGGAGAGACATGGAGAAAGGTGTTTGGCCCCTTTTTTGTGTACCTCAATTCAACACCTGATGCGTCAAATGCACACAACTTATGGGTAGATGCAAAAAAGCAGGTACACTTTTGATTTCTCTCATAACACTTGATTTATTTTTACTAGAACCCAAACATGCCCATGATGCAAATTTCTTTTTCCTTTTCATGCTTTGTTCATCCTAGAGGTTGCTTGAAGAGGCAGCTTGGCCGTATGATTTTGTATCATCGCCCTATTATCTAACTGTAAAAGAGCGCGGTTCAGCTACCGGGAGATTGTTTGTCCAGGACAGGTAAATGACTCACTCTCCAGTAAAGCTTTTTCTGACTGCTCAATGTGGGTTCTGGAACGCTTTAATGAATTTCTGGTATCTAATCCAGTTTATTATATTATTCGAAACTAGATTTATTTCCACTACTTTGATTCCGGCTAAAAATGCATACATTGGACTATCATCTGCAAGAACTGAAGGAGCATGGCAAACGGAAAGCAAGGTAAGGACTAACTCGAATCGATTAATTTGCCATCATGTAGACTGGAAACTTGAGCAATTGTGGATCCATTTACATGTAGGATTATCAGTTCTGGGTGCAAACAGACTCTAATGGAGATTTCACCATCAAGAATGTTGTCCCTGGAGTCTATGGACTCCATGGTTGGGTTCCAGGTTTCATTGGGGATTATCTTGACAAAGCACTAATCACCATCTCTACAGGTACTGGTATTTAAATTCTTTAGGAATAAAAAAAAAGGATGTGTTATGATTTCATATGAGCTATTGTCTTTAGCTGATTGTATCAAATGAAGTAATACTCTCAGAATACTCTTGGTAAAAATATTGCTCAGGGTCACAACCAGAACTTGGAAACTTAACCTATGTTCCCCTCAGAGATGGTCCAACTCTTTGGGAGATCGGCTTCCCTGATCGTACTGCCACTGGTTTCTTTGTTCCTGATGTGAATCCAATGTATGTCAACAGGCTATTCGTTAACAGCCCCGAGAAGTAAGCGACTTCACCTCACTCTTTGTACTGAATCAGCTTATGCTTCATTTTCTGAATGATGTTAAAATCAAGGTGAAGGTTTATACTGATTGATCTTAACTTGTTTGAGCTCTTCTACCCTAACAGGTACAGACAATATGGCTTGTGGGACAGATATGCTGATATTCATCCTGAATCCGATCAAGTTTTCACTATAGGTGTCAATGATTCAAAAAAAGACTGGTTCTTCGCTCACGTAGACAGGTCTGATTTCATTCTTTTAAATTTTCTTGTTCAAAGAAAAATGTCCACCCTGACCTGACAGTGATTTTGAACTTTTCCAGAAGAGGGCCAAATAACAAGTATCTCCCAACAACATGGACAATCAAGTTTAATCTCGCTTCAGTAATCAGTGGAATTTACAAAGTGAGATTGGCCATTGCATCAGCAACCCGTTCTGATCTCAAGGTAAAAATGACAAAGATTCAAAGTCTTTGATGTCTTGTAGATACCAGTAGTCACAAAATAGGGGTACAGTAACCTTTAAAATTTTGCAGGTGTATGTTAACTACATAGATGACGGTCACCTGGCATTTGAAGAGATGAATCTAGGGATGGATAACACAGTTTGTAGACATGGAATTCATGGACTGTACCAACTCTTCAGCTTTGATGTTTCCTCAGTATTGCTGATCAAGGGAGATAACTCAATGTTTCTCACACAGGCTAGGGGTGGAGATGCACTTTGTGGAGTACTCTATGACTACATAAGACTGGAAGCTCCTGCATCCTCAGTCAAATCAAAGTGGCTAGAAGAACAAAGGTAGAGCATGAGAGTTGAGCTCCCCTGGCTAAAGAAACACAACGATTTTGAGAAGAATTTCATCATCCGTTCTCCGAATGCCTGCTAACAAAAATTATGCCACGTCTTCAGAACATGTAAACAGAAATTCATGTCTATACACTTCATTATTTTTCAAAAGAATTCTGGAAACTAAGAAGGATTCTGAAAAATCCATAAAGTTCCTATATAATCTTTATCACGTCAGGAGCTAGCAGTAATATCTAAACATTGCTGTCATCCACAAAGCTCATCAAAATATATAAAACATAACATGCTGCAAAACCTGTTTAATCATTTCATTGAAGTATAATATGCTGCAAAACTCTGTTATATATTTCGTTTTTCACCTATAAGTATCATTAGTTCCGTTAAACCATTCACTTCATCATAACCAACATCACTGGCTACTGATTGTTAAAAGCAAAAGGGGTATTGCCTCTAATATCCCAATCATGTCAATTCTACTAATCTTATAATCACGCAAATGGCAAATAAACCGGTCTTGCCGCTTCTGCAGTGTGCCATTACCAGAAAACTCATACATCCACCCATTTTCCCCTGGCCTTGATTCTGTCCAGGCATCAACCCATCCCGCAGGTAAAGGAAACTGACCATCCAGCTTGTCATCCCAGTTCAAATCACCACAAAAGATCACATTTTCATTCCTCTCCAGATGGTTCATAGCCTCCTTTGCCTGCTCCACACATACCCTGCTAAGCATTTGATTTGATGTAGGACGACGCAGGCATGGTATCTCGAGATGGCTAGAGGCAACAACCAAAAGCTTGTCCTCCTCATCTTTAAACTCAGCAACACAAAGTTTTCTCCTCATTGTTGAATTTTTGAAGGGTATGCAATTGAACGATTTCACATGCAATTTGCTTAACTGCATGTCATTTAATAATCAGTTTTGAGTATCAAAAAAGAAAAAAAGATCTCACCCCTCAAAAGATCAAACTACTTCCAAATCAGTAAAACCTCCATGCGAATTATAGAAACATGATTAAGCAAACATCATTCATCCCACCTAGAGGATGAACAAAAGTTTACCTGCATGCAAAAGAATTTCCCAGAATCTATCTCTTCTCCGGAAAGTGCGCACTGATATACCATCCACCAGCTGGATTGGAGAAGTATGTCGTATATTTTAGCAGTAACCTCCTATGGAGCAAGTGTCCACTTGTAAGATGATGTACAATAGATTGTTTTCATCTAAAAATAATAGGAAGATCTAATTCCAAATACCTGAAAACAAATAAGGTCTGGAGAATGCTGTTGAATTAGGTCACCGACTGCTTTCATCTTCTTTCGCATCATCAAGTCTTCTCGGAACCCAACATTATAGTTCAAAATCTTCAATGACCTCATAACTGCTCCTGAATTAGTGTTCCCTGTGTGAACCCCTGAATTAGTGTCCTCTGCCACAAATGTGAAGTACTTGTTACATGTATGGTAACTGATAACAACCCATAAAGCTTCAGTCCACCATAACATTTTTTGTTGTACATCAGTACCATGACCTATAGAAGAAAACTAGCACATTTGGAACCAAAATTTAGAAACTACCATTCCCCCGAAGGTTGGTCAGGTGATCAAGGAGTATGTTCTTCTTTGACTTTCTGGGTTCAAACTTTAGAACCACCTACCTCGATGCATGCCCGGTTCATTGGGTTTGTAGTATTCAATATATCCTGCGGATTAGTTGAAGTGTGCGTAAGCCGGCTCGAACACCCCGGTTACCAAAAAAAAAAAAAAAAAAAAAAAAAAAAAAAAAAACCTCTATTCCTATATCCAACGCTTTCTCCCAGTTCACTTGGAACACATAGCCTTTGACAATTCTTGCAATAACATTGCAGCATGATGTTTCAGTATAGCAAGATTCAACTTGTTTTATTATTGAAATTCATAGTGATAATCAATTCTGTTTCTTTTGAGAAAAATGGAATATTCAAATTGTATCTACATAAAACAACAAAAACATAAATACCCAATACAAGAACAAGAATACACTAATAAAGCAATGAAAATTTAACACCCACACCGGAACTCACCCTTTAATCACTGCTTATTGAATGTATTAACAAGCGAATCCCCATCAAAAGGACCACAATCTTGATCTTGATCTTCGTCCCTAATCTTCGTCTCGTTACTAGGCTTCAGCATTGAAGGCAAGAAGCAGACCAAACAGAGAATCCACGTAGCATCAACTTCAATAACATTAGAGTCATCGAAACTTGAACGGGAGCCCTTGTGTTACAGAGTTGACTGTTTTGTGTGCGCAGGTTTTAAAGAAGAAGAAGAAGGATATAAATGGAATCAATAAAGGTGAAGATGGAGAGTTGGGGGAGTTGCATTTCGATGAAGACATTGTTGCGAAAGATGATGTCTTTGAAGAAATGAGAGGTATGAAATTGTTAAAAGAGTTTGTTTAGAACAGTTATGAATTTGTGAAGCAAGTACATGGCGGCCTTTGAAACTTTGCTTGGGGAATATAATGAAAAAGATTTTACCCACCCTGCGTTAATTGTCAACTGTGGTCAGATTCTGTTTGTTTGGAAACACCCGCTAAAATTAGAAGCCATTAATGGAATCTTGACTCTATGCAACTATTTTTTTATACAAAGAATAATATCCTCGACTGGGATTGACTCAATATATACTGATATTCATCCAGGTCCCATCCTCTGTCAATCAATGTGCCTAGAAGAGCAGAGGTAAGAGCTGAAGCATACGAGTTGTTCCCATGGCAAAAGAAAACAAATGATTTTGAGAAGAATTTTCATCGTTCTTTGAATGTCTGCTAACAAAAATTATGCCATGTCTTGGGAAAAAAATGTTGACAGAAGAAATTCATGTTCATGCACTTAATTAATTTTGAAAAGAATGCTAATTGCGGCTAGAATTATGCAGTGCAGTTGGTCATAAAACCATTTTTCATTGTTAGAGAAACCTAATCATCAATTTTACAACTTTAACATTGCAAAAATAAACCTTACTTTAAAGAATAAGAAGGATTCTGGAAAATCTTTAAAGTTGATCTTCATCATAACAACTAAAACTCTTAAAAACGGGTGAGCATAGGTAAAAGGTAGAACCGGAACTACCCGTCGATTCTGGCTCCAAATTTGGTGGAACCAGCCCCGTACAAGTCTGGGTCCGATTTCGGTTCCTCCACTTCAGTAATCGGACTTGGACTTGGAACCGAGGCCTAGGTTGTATTTGTAATTTTTATAAATTGTTGGGGGTGTATTTGTAATTTTTAGGGGTATATTTGTAATTTTATAGACTACCAAGGGTATAAATTACAAGGTACCCAGAACCAAAACCGACTGGTCTGATTCCAAATCCAAGGAACTAACTGGTTCTGGTTCCGGTTCCGGTTACTTAGAATTGGGTCGGATACCCGGACCCGCCCACCCATGTAAAAGTACTCTTTTAGCATTTCAGAAGTTGGAAGTATTAGTAATATCTAAACATCACCTTCATCCACAAAACTTCACCAAAATATGAAAAATAACATGCCGCAAAACCTGCAAAATGCTGTTTAAACCGTTTCGTTTTTCACCTGTGCAACATTGTCTATCATATGTGCATACAAGCAATGCCCCAAAAACGAAAGGATTAATAGTTAATCAGTCTTCCATTCAACCATTCACTTCATGCATATAACCAACATTATTGGCTATTAATTGTTAAAAGCAAGCGATAATGGTCACTAGGCGAAACAGGAAGCTCCAACTTCATCTCTTTCTTCTCTCTCCAATGGCCTGGTATCGCCTCCATCCCCATCATGTCAATTCTACTAATCTTGAAATCACGCAAATTGCAAATAAATCGATCTAACTGCTTCTGCAATGTGCCATTTCCAGACATCTGGTTGGGCCTGGTAACATACATCCATCCCTCGGGTAAAGGAAATCGACCATCCAGCTTGTCATCCCAGTTCAAATCACCACAAAAGATCACATTTTGATTATTCTCCAGACGGTTAATAGCCTCCCTTGCCTGCTCCACACGTTCTCTGCAAAGCTTCTGATCCCACGTAGGAGGGCTCAAGCAGGGACGCTCTGCAGGTTCTTTGCTGAGCTTCTTACCGGTCGTACAAGGGTCCAAGGGACTCTCCTGATGGGTGGTGGCAACAACCAAAGACTTGTCCTCCTGAACTTTAACCTCAACAATGCAAAGTTTTCTCCCCGTTTTTGAATTTCTGAAGGATACGCAGTTGGTAGATGAGACTTGCAATTTGCTTAACTGCATGCCATAACCAGTAACCAGTTGAGTATCAAAAAAGATCTCAGTTCCTCAAAAGATCAAATTACTTCCAACCGAGCAAACATTCAAATTATAGAAACATAAAAAACATATAAGAAGTTTCATCAGACGTACTTGAACAAAATAGAGAGTAATACGAAACCAATGTAACAGTAAACACACAAACACAAACAGTAAAAAGAAAATAGGTTACGTCCAGCAGAGCTAATATTATTTCAATACTGTCTCATCTCTCTTGTTTACAATGAATGAATTTGTCCTATTGTTTGCTATCATTTATTACAAGAGAAAATACTATTTATATACTAGCCCAAACCGCCTACAGGCTAGGGACGCTGCCCCCTACACTGTCGCCCACTCACCAAGGAACGGGGCCCCTGAATGTGTCTGCATGGCCCATTAATATTGAAGTAGTCGACAACTTCAACAGTACTGAAAGCTAAGATCATATGAAAATTATAATGTGCATGTGTGTTGCCGAAACAGTTCGTGGACACGCATCAGTATCCTCAGTGTATGCAAGCCGACATCATTCATACTGTTAATGTTGATCAAAAGCATGTGTTTCATTGTGTAGATATGTTTAATTAAGGGCCTCATGCATCACACCAAGAGGATGCACAAATCTTACCAGAACGCAATAGAACAGCTTTCTATCCATCTTTTCTCTGGAAAATGCGCACTGATATACCTTCCACCAGCTGGATTGACAAAGTTTGGCGTATATTTTAGCAGTAACCTCCTATAGAGCAAGTGTTCCACATGTGAGATGTTGTACAATAGATTGTTTTCATCTAAAAGTAATAGGAAGATTTAATTCCAAAAACCTGAAAACAAATAAGATCTGGAGAATGCTGTTCAATTAGGTCATCAATTGCATCCATTCTCTCATCCACCACCAGGTCTTCTGGGAACCCGACATTATAGCTCAAAATCTTCAATGACCTCGAAACTGCCCCTGAATTGGTGTGTACTGTCCTAAACCCTGAATAAGTGCCCTCTGCCACAAATGAAAAAGTACTTGTTACATGTATGGTAATAGATAATAAACCATAAAGCTTCACGTCCGCCATAGCTTTCTGTGTTGTACATCAGTACTACCTTGACATATAGAAAACAAGCACATTTGGAACCAAAATTGCTAAAAAAACCACTAATTCATTTATCCAAAGCACTGTTTCATAGCTCACTTGAAAACACTAATCTTATTTTCTGACAATTCCTTCAATTACTAATTGCAGCATGATGTTTCAGTATAGGAAGGTCAATCTTATCCGTTAATTGAAACATTCATGGTGATAATGGATTCTATTTCTTTTGCAAATAAGATAGAAAGCACACTAAAAAAGATTAAATCTTTAGTCAAACTCCATTGAAAGAATGAAAAAGCTAAAAAACACACTGATAACTTAGAAAGATTTGCTTCAGAAAATAACAAAACTGGAAGATTCAAATTGTATCTACATCAACAACAGTAACATAAATTACACAATATAAGAACAAGAACCCAGTAATAAAAGCAATCAATAATTCAACACCAACAATCAAAACTCACCTTTTAAAACTATGGCTTTATTGAATGCCATAACACGTGAAACCCAATCAAAAGAAGCACAATCTTGATCCTGATCTTGGTCCCTAATCTTTGTCCCATTACTAATAGGCTCTAACTTTGAAGGCAAGATAGCAGACCGAACGGGAGCCCTTGTTGAAGAAAAAGAAGAAGATGATTGCAATGAAGGTGAAATTTTAGACAGCAGACACCGTAGACAAGTCAATTTTCGAGATGCAACATTGCGGTACTTGCATTTCCTGCAGTACCATGGAGCCAGTATTGACTTCTTCATTGTTAAATTGATGATTTTGTGAAGCTAACTACAATGGCCTTTGAAACTTGGCTTGGGGAATTATAATAAAAAATACTTGAACCACCCTGGGTTCATTGTCTAACGGTGGTCAACATTTCTGTTGCTTGGAAAATTCCCGCTTAAATTAGAAGCCGTTAATGAAATCTTGACAGTGACACAACCGTTTTTATACAAGGAGGATAAATATCCTCGACAGTTAACATTGACTGAAAAACAATGAAGGGTTATATACTGATATTCATCCCAGGCTCGATCATGTTTTCAGTATAGGTAACAATATATAATGATCCCAAAAAGACTGGTTCTTCACTCATGTAGTCATGTAGAAAGGTCTGATTGAGATCGGCCTTTTCATCTGCAACCTTTATACTAATAAAATTTCGTTGTTTCCCACCTCATTTTTGTCAAAACAAAAATTAAAATTTACTGGTTTATTTCAATTATATAGATGACGGTCACCCGGCATCCAAAGAGATGAATCTGGGGATGAATGACACAGTTTGTCGACATGGAATTCATGGATTGCATCAGCTATTTAGCTTTAATGTTTCCTCTCGAATTCATGGGTTGTATGAGCTAAATAGCTTTAATGTTTCCTCTGTATTGTTGATAAAGGAGATAACTAAATAGAGATGTCAAATGCATCATTTTGTCACCTATTCTAATGTCAATAGAAACATTAAATTATATCTTGCACATCCCATTTGACATCTCTATAACACAATGTTTCTTACCCAAGCTAAAGGTGGAGATCCTCTTTGTGATGTACTCCATGACTATGGAAGCTGCTGCATCCACCATCAAATCCAAGTGGCTAGACGATCATAGGTAGAGTATGAGAACTGTTCCCATGGCAGAAGAAATTTCATCATTTGTTAGTGGAAGGCCCGCTAAAAAACCTATGCCTTATGTTCTTCAAATGCCTGCCAGCAAAAATTATGCCATGTCTTTTGGTACATGTTAACAGAAATTCATGTCCATTCACTTTCATTGCAGTTGGTCTTTAAATCATTTTTCCCACGTAGAGGAACCTAATCATCAATTTTACAACTTTAACATTGCAAAAAGAAGGTAAACTTTGAAGAATAAGGATTCTGGAAAATCCATAAAATCATGATAACAAGTACTCTTAGCATTTCATATCTAAACATTGCCCTCATCATCCACAAAACTTCACCGAAATATGAAACATAACATGCCGCAAAATCTGTTTCATCATTTCATTGAAGGATAATACGCTGCAAAAACGCTGTTACATCATTTCGTTTTTCACCTATACAAAAGTGCGTATCATATATGCATACAAACAATGCCCAAAAAATGATCATTACTTCATCACTCTTTCATTCAACCATTATCATTACCAACATTACTGACTACTGATTGTTAAAAGCAAGCCATAATGATCACTAGGCAAAACAGGAAGCTCCAACTTCTTTATCTCTTTCTTCACTTTCTTCTCTTTGCAATATGATAGACATGGTATTGCCTCCGTCCCAATCATATCAATTCTACTAATCTTAAAATCACGCAAATTGCAAATAAATCGGTCTAGCCGCTTCTGCAATGTACGATTACCAGACAACATCTGGTTGGACTTAGTATCATACGTCCACCCATTCTCCCCTGGCCTTAACTCTGTCCAGGCATCAACCCATCCCTCAGGGAAAGGAAATCGACCATCCAACTTGTCATCCCAGTTCATATCACCACAAAAGATCACATTTTGATTCTTCTCCAGAAGGTTGATAGCCTCCCTTGCCTGTTCCACACGTTCTTTGCTAAACATCTGATCCCACATAGGAGGGCCCGGGCAGGGACTCTCAAGATGGCTAGTGGCAACAACCAAAGACTTCTCGTCTAGAACTTTAACCTCAGCAATGCAAAGTTCTCTCCCCATAATTGAATTCCTGAAGGGTTTACAGCTGAAGGCTTTCACTTGCAATTTGCTTAACTGCATGTCATATAGCAACCAGTTGAGTATCAAAAATAGATCTGAGTCCCTCAAAAGATCAAATTATTTCCTACTCAGCAAAGCCTTAATTCAAATTATAGAAACATACAATACAAAAAAGAACTCTCATCAGAAGTACTTAAAGCTAGATCATATGAAAAGAATAATGTGCATGCCTGTAGCCAAAACAGTTCATGGAAATATATCAATATTCACAATGTAGTTATAATATCTTCTATATGCTAGCAAACGACATACTGTCAATGTTGATCAAAAACATGTGATTCATTTCTTAAATATGTCAAATTGAGGACCTTATGTGCAGTACCAAGATAATGAACAAAAGCTTACCTGCAAGCAAAAGTATGGCCTCGAGCTTGACTCTACCATCTCATTTGAAACTGAGCATTGATATACCTTCCACCAGCTGGATTGGCGAAGTACCTCATATATATCATGAGTAACCTCCTACAGAACAATTTGCAGACCACTTCTAAGAAGCTAAACAATAGATTATGTTCATTGACAAATAAGGGAGATATAATGCCAATAACCTGAAAACAAATGAGATCTGGAGAATGCAGTTGAATTATATCACCAATTGCTTTCATCCTCTTATGCATCTCCAGGTCTTCTCGGAACCAAACGTTATAACTCAAAATCTTCAATGACCTCATAACTGCCCCTGAATTAGTGTTCTCTGTGCTTACCCCTGAGTTAGTGTCCTCTGCCACAAACATAAAGAACTTTATACGTGTATAATAACAAACCATAAATGCATATCATTCTGTATCATTCATCAGTACCATGACATAAAGAAAACTAGAACATTTGGAATCAAAATTGCTAAAAGCTACTAATTAATTTCTTTAAAATGCTTTCTCATACCTCACATGGAAACACGTAACTTCTGGCAATTCTTGCAATTGCCAGTTGCAGCATGATGTTTTAGTAAAGGAATGCTCATCTTACCCATTAACTGAAACAGTCAGGGTGATGATCGGTTCTCTTTCTTTTCAAAAATAGGAGACAGCACACAAGATCACATCCTTCAGCCAAACTCCATTGAAAGACAAAAAAATGAAACGCCAAACTACTACCTTTACTTGCTAAATTCTCCTAAAAAACACATAGAAAATATTTGCCTCAAAATAAGTAAATCGATTAAACGCAAGTGCCTATAATAAGGTAAACACTAAAGAAACACTATCAAACTAGAAACAAAACTTCAACATAATTTCTTTTCAGAAAAATGGACTGGTCAAATTGTATCTACATCCAATAACAAAAACATAATTAACCAATACAATAACAAAAACCCATAAATAAAGACAATCAATAATTCAACAGCAAACAATCAAAACTCACCATTTACATTCAACCCCTTATTCAAAGCCTTAACACGTGAATCAAAAGAACCACAATCTGAATCCTGATCCTGGTCCCTAATCTTCCTCTTATTACTATAAGGCTTCAACTGTAAGGGCAAGAAAACAGACCCAACAGAGGAATCCAAGTCAGCGTCAACATCAATAACATTCAAGTCATCAAAACTTGAAACGGGAGCCCTAGTGTTACAAAGTTGACAGTTTGTGTTATTGTAGGGATTCAAAAAAGTGCAGGCTTTACATGCCCAAGTGGGAACTGACGAAGAAAAAGGAGATAAAGATGGAATCTTTGAAGGCGAAGATGGGGTGAGGCACATTTGACAAGTTCGTTTTTGTGATGGAGAATTGAGGAACGTGCATTTCTTGCATGACCATGAAGACATTGGCGTGAAAGATGTTGTCTTTGAAGGAGATAAAGAGATTAGGGATTGTTTAGGGTTTATTTTGAAACAAGTTGGTCTTTTTGTTTGGAAGAAGGATAAGCAGAGTGACATTTAAAAGTTGAAACTAGGGGAAACTCTTTGCTTGCCGCTTGTGGAGTCCAATGTTGTACTGGATGCAGTGTAAAGTATAAAGACTTTAAAAGCTATGGCCCACTAAGAATGTACAGGTGGGGCTAATGGGACCCAATGGGTTTTAGGTTTTGGGTTTGGTTGGCCATTGCTTTGTTTTAAGGTCATTTGGGTAGATACTTGCAATCATTAAGCACCCGGCCCGTGTGACAACCTGGCCAGAGGACCGTGGGGTCACGGTTTGACCAGTCTAACTGGTTTGATCAGTGGTTTCCCGTTCATCCCATAAGTTTAAAATCTAATAAACACACTCCTAATAAATATCATCAGTCTCTTTAAGATTAAAATCTAGCAAAAATACTCCTCAAAGTGCAAGCAAGTAACGATCGACAACCAATCGGACTTCGAGATGATTGAGATTTTGGTGGAGAGATGCCAATGAGGCAAATGGAGGGATCAGGGGTGATTTTAGATGTCGGGAACGACTAGAAATGGGTAAAATCGCAAAACCCTAAGAGTGGCTGACGACGATCGACGAGCAATCAAGGTCGAGGGTGTTGGGGTTTTTGGTGGGGAGATGCTAGTGAGGCCAATGGAGGGTTTGAGGGTGATTTTAGGCACCAGAATCTGCCGAAATGAGAGAGTAAGTGCTGGAATGTGAGAAATGGCAAGTGGAAAGAGCAAGGGGTGTTTGTAATTTTAAGGGTCAGTTTTCTGCCTTTGCCGATGAAGGCTCAGTCCCGATCTAACCGGTTAAACTGGTCGGGCCGGGTTCTTAATCAATGGATACTTGATAATTTTCTCATAGTCAAATGAAATGGACCAGTGGTACAACAAATTTATACCAAGAATCAAGAGCTTGGATCCTCCAAAGCAATTGCTCGTATTCTATGATTGATGCACCTCTGCATTCTATAAATATAATAAGAATTAAACAAATAAACTAGTTTATATGTGTACATTATTTGCTAGCAGAAATATTGAAGGAACCATTGCCTAAATGTAAGACCTTTAAAAAGTGATACAATGATCCTGCAATGAGAGGGGATCAGAATCAGAAGCATTCCCTTTATTACACCATGACTCAAGTATGTGATTGTCATAGAATATAGAATATACCACATGAAATGCTATTCTGCTTATCAAAAATATGTTAATTACAGTAATCAGCTAGCCTATCTAGAATAACTATCACACAGCACTCTTACATGAAGCATCCATAATATAAGCAGTCCCTCCAAGCAGCTTAGATCATCAAAGAATCCAGCACAAAATTATTGATACATCTCAAAGAAAGAATTACTTTACACTGTTACACCCACCATGGACTACATATAAAAGAAATCAATAACAAAATAGAGAAAGCTACAGCATTTGCACTTATTTGATTGCTGCTGAGGGTGATGAATCTTAATCTATCTGCTGCACCACTTATTTGGGTTGAGTTTAAAACCGCTTTTGTCTTATTGGTTACCTTCTTACTGAAAATCAAAATAAAATAAACTATGTTAGGGATGTCTTGATTAAGATATACATTGTAAAGGAGATTCGCCAAGTTGTTTTCTAATGCCAAAAATCTAGAGAGAAGAGAATGTTAAGTTGAGCACCACAAAGTAGCAACAATATCTGATATACAAATGAAAATATAGAGTACCAAGAAAGCCAGTAATTCTCACCTTCCCGGAAATATACAGCTCCCATGACCTGCAAATATGCCCCACAAACAGAAGACATATATCAGAAATGTATGGGCATGGTTGTATGTTAGCATAAAAATAAGAACAAAATGCCAGACTCCAATTTGGCTCCAGTCCTATTTCCAGTGCATACAGGACAAAATCAAATAGTGCAAAGTTGTTTGCAAGAATATATTCTGCATGCAAGAGAACAAGTTATATTCAAGGGTAAAATCTTAGCCTGGCCATAGTTTCACTGACATTGTAATGCACAAGGGGAGCTTACACAAGAACCGGGGTCCAAATGTAAATGGTGATTCCCTAATTCAACCAAATAGCGCCATTTAAGACCTATTTCAACCAATCAACTAAACAACCCATGTGCTTCTGTCAGGAGGGAATCACATACTCTTCTTCTTTGGGAGTCAGCTTTGGCCCCCTAAGTATCTCCTGAAGATTGTGATTGGAATGTGCTTCCATAGCGCTTTACTTTTCTGGACTACTTGGTGCTTAAGACACTTACTAGTTGTAAAAGAAGAATAATTAAGCTAACAAAACTAGCACTTTTTACTTTCAGCCTGTACTCCTTTCTGAGCTTAGTCATACCAAGCATTGAATTAGGATCATATTACCAAAAATTTGCAGCCAAAATAACACAATATAAGAACTTAGCAGATATAACTAACTACAAATTATAGGTAGAAAAACCACTATAATCATGTCTTTAATTATTTTAATATCCAAAGCAAAATTAATACCCAATATCTTCTTGGAGATAAAACCATCATGTATTAGTGTAGTAGCACTTACTTGGGTCAGTTGTGGTGATCATGGCCACACCCTTGAAGTCACAAGACCCAGGAGACTTCCCTTCTTTATGGTAATAGCTATCAAAGGCATACGAAGCATGGTTCTTCACATTATTAGGCTGATAGCAATTCTCCCCTGGTTGAATCTCACTACAATTTGCCCTCCCAGGACCGCATGCCCAATCCAATGCCGCCTGCAACGTCTTTGAATCAACACTATCCATTGCAATACAATAAGTCTCATTCGTTGTATCATTAGCCAAAAATGTCCCAATTCCCGATACATGAAGCAAATAAACTGGTGTCGAATTTGCATAAAATAGCCCCCAATTTGCTTCTGATACCGGTGGTGACCTTAAGTCCTCATTGAACAACTCGTAGATATACACATTAGAAGTGACTTCCGGGTGAAAAGGCGTTCCACTTCGGTCTAAAACATGCTTAATCAAATTTGAATTATACGTATCTGCAGTGTCGATAGTAGCATAAGGCTCCTTGGAATCCCCCTTTGAAGGCCACCCACTCTCTGTGACAAGAACCTCAACATCTGTAATATTCAAGTTCTTCATCGAAAAATACGCAGAATCAATCATTGCATCAAGCACATTCGTATAATGCAGCAAAGTATTAGGGTCAACCATCTCCTTCGATGGTGTCAACGGCTTAAACAACGAATTATCAAGAGGCACAACACCTTTGTTTTGCATAAACACATAATAAGGATAAAGATTCATCATTAATGGCGACTGAGTTCTTGACAAAAACTGAAGCAAAGGCAACATTACTGAACTCAAACTCTGGTTAAAAAAAGCCTGTGAAGGAGGAAATGGATCAAGAATTATAGATGCTGCATGAGGAGTCGAAATCTTAATCTTTGTATGCAAATTTGCAGTCACTAATGCACTATAAAGACTCTCAATTGCTGGAAGTAAAATTGGAGCTGAAGAGGGTACAGTTGTTAAGACCTCATCACCTACTGCAATGGCTGTAATGAGTGTTTCAGGGTAAAAAGCCACAACATTTCTTCCAACCCACGACGCTGCAGTAGAATTCGAGGTTCCAATTGCAAGAAGCTGATTGTTTGGTACACTAATAATCACCCGGATCTTGGTTTTGGCCAGAGCTTTGAGAATGTCAAGGTCTGCACCATAAAGCCTTATGTGTGTAATCTTCTGCCCTTGCAAAAATGAAACCAAGTCAGCTGGTGAGAGTAGATTCGAGACATCTGTGCCAATGTTAACACCAACAAATGGTTCACTATCTGGGTCTGCTGCTTTAGCTGCAAAAATTCAGTGAAGAAACACATTAGAAAGAACAAAAGTTCACATTTTTAACATATAAGGATGAGTAAAGCCCGCATTTTTACCTGTGTAGATTACAGTAAAGTAGACGAAGATGAAAAGGGTTAGTTTAGAATTTGCCATTGAAGCCAAGGATGAGCTGCAGTTCTCTATCTTCAGCCTCTGGTTCAGCTCTAGATCCTTGCATTATCTTTAGCAAAATATCCTTTTCAGAGAATTTAGTAATGTTTTTTTTGGTGGGTTTGGTTTGTGTTTGGCTATTGACCTAAAAGAGATAACTGGTTGATCAAAAGAAATCGTGTTTTTGGGGTTAACTGGATTCTTGCTTCCCAAAAGATGCGTTGTAACTACATTTCAATTTATTTGCTCAGCCATATTCATTCACTAATTTGACCTTGAGCACCGACAACAGTTCAAAAGTACCCTCACCCTTTTATTTATTTCTTTAATTTTTTTGAAAATATTAATAATTAATACTAATTCTTCACTTCATTGTTTGACAGTTGCCAGGTTGGTGACTTGTAAAAGTCTGTACTCTGTACTTTGAAGTTTGAACTAACCCACCTATAAAATTACAAAGGGTTAAGTTAATGTGTGGTGGAGGCAAGACTGTAACTTTATCTAAAGTTAAAAATGGTAACCTTAAATAAATGGCAAATTCTGGACTTTTTGATGATGAGTAAGTCAAGATGGTTCTTGAATTCCAGGCTGGCGTTTCCAGATTGCAGTGCAGAAAGAGACGTTAACCCAGCAGTCCAGCACCATCAGCAGGAGCTCACACATTTATGTTGCTTTCAATAATAATAATAGTGTTCAACATATGTCACTTGGCTTTACAAGAATGTGGGCATTTTAATGGTGTATACTGTATAGTGAAGTGAAATGACACTGCCAGCTGAAAGAAGCCGATATCACTGTAGCAATGGTGTTTATATTACAATCAAACAAAAAGACAGAACAGACTGGGCTGAGTGACAGTAGATTAGAGTAGCCCCGATACCATAAGCAGCAGATGCAGTGAGTCACGAGACAAACACTACTGCTTCACATGTGGGTCACCAGTTTTTAGATGCATTTAACCGTACTGTGAAACAGTGAAAGTAGAGGTAGTAAAAATTTGACAGTAATTAAAGCCAAATACGTTGAGGAAAGTAGTCCATTTCCTCTTATCGGAAATATACTAATAAATATTTCTCACAAACATCTCTCACTAACCTCATGTGGCAGTTCACAATCGGCTTGGTCAGACGAGACTCGTTGTTAGGCAAACAGGATCCATGAAAGTTGACAAATTATGAACTGACACGTCGCGTTTGTGAAAGCAAGTTAATAAGAAATGTTTGTAAGTATAGTATTACTCTATTGTAATTTATGAGTTGACGTAAGATTAGTTAACACATGAATTCTCTACTATTTATTATCGATTTGTTTGAACGTGTTGAAAAAAAAAAAAATTTCCCGATAACATAAACGGTAAAAAGCTTTACACAAATTCATTAGCTTTTAAGTTCCCTTTTGGTTTCTAATTTTGTAATGAGATGAGTGGCTTTAGGCTTAGTGAAAGCATGGTGATGATGGGATTGAAGGTCCATGTCAAAAGAAAAAAAGGAGAAAAAAAAAAAAAAGGATCATAGAGGGAATCTATAATTTGTATGAAACCTCTACTTTTAGTAAACAAAACAAAATTGAAAGAAAGGTAGGTGGTGGGGGGTGGGGGACTTGGGGCTGAGAATACATATCATAGATGGACAGAATCTATTAAAATAAATTCTGTTCAACAACCAGTGGGTTGCTCAACTGTAGTATATTCAAGGCACAAATATGCTCACCTCAATTAATGAATAAATAAATGAACAAAGAGCTGCTTCTGAATGCTGTACTATTTGTTATTTGTTTTTCTGTGAAGAAAGATTATTAATGGTTGTTTATGTTGAATGTTATTGATAAGAGTCATAAGTTCCTTTTTTTTTTTTGGGTGGGCTGTCGAAAGGCATAAGTGTTTGACAAAGGAAAGGGGAAAAAAAATATTCCTAGAAATTGAAAAATAGGAATCCTAGGTGATTTTATTCCTTCAATTCTTGTGCTTGTGTTCTGTCACACCATAAACAAGAAAATAACATCGAGGGCACACCATTATATGATTTTTTTATAATATTTGAGGTTTTCAGATAGGGGCTTTTTTTTGTTTTTTATCGATTATGTTCGGGTAAGTTTGTACGTATTTCGATTAATCTTCAGTTGTGTTCAAGTCAGTTTACATGCATTTCGTCTAATCCCTGAACTCTTGAGTAATACATCTAAGCAAGGTTCTGAAAACTGGACCGGACCGTCCGGTCGGACCGGTTTGACTGGTGACTGGCGGCATTTTCGGTCCGGAATACTTCAAAAACCGTTAATTACATTTAAACCGGATTTGACCATGGTTAGACCGCCGGAATAGTATCGAATCGCGGTCCAATCGCAGTTCAATCCCGCCAGATTCCGGCACCGATTGAGGGAGAAATCACCGCCATTAGACTTGACGGCATCTCCACTATAAAACCCTGCCATTTTCAGTTGCCGTCGTCCAGCCATCGTCGCTCTCTGTCCACCTAAACTTCACGCGACCGTCAGACTTCTTTTGTTGATTCCAGCGATTTTCGACGCCGATGGAACTCCTTGGCACCACTATCAGAGTCGCCGGCACCTACACATCAAAAGCCCCAAGATTCCAGCTTCGATTGGCCGTCGATCGTCGCTGCCGCCACCACTCACCAGAATCTTCGCATGATAGGGGTGTTTTAGATAGATTTCAAACCTTGAGAGAGTATTATAGGGGTGTTTTTGATGAATTTCAAACCTTCAAGGACTAAAAAATTTTTATAAATTACCGTCCAATCGATCGATCCAACCGGTCAAACCGGAAATCGAACCCTTTAACGGGTCATTGTCCGGTCCGATTTTCAGAACATTGCATCTAAGAGTCACTATTGACACATCCAATCACCCAAGAGTGGTTAGCAGGATTTAAGATTTGGGTATTGGAAGCTGGATGTGGTTAACAAATTTAGGGGAGAAATTGATGGGATAATCAAATCTTATTCCAAACGAAGATATGCTGAGCAGTGTTGGAATAAAGAGATAAGGCCGAACCCTTTAACGGGTCATTGTCCGGTCCGATTTTCAGAACATTGCATCTAAGAGTCACTATTGACACATCCAATCACCCAAGATTGGTTAGCAGGATTTAGATTTGGGTATTGGAGCTGGATGTGGTTAACAATTTAGGGGAAAATTGATGGGATAATCAAATCTTATTCCAAACGAAGATATGCTGAGCAGTGTTGGAATAAAGAGATAAGGCCCAATGACCCAAAATCTTATTCCAAGTCCAGCAGCCCCTTTTCTAAGTGAGAATTTTCTTTCAGTGACATCAGCGAACGGAACAGTGATATCAACCGACGGAATCCATTTAGTTGGATAGAGTCATAGAGATCATCAGGTCAGCTCAATTTTCTGATCAAACGTATGGTATATACTATATATCAAATCACCATTTATGATATTTGAAGGCCTTTTTCATGGAGGCGTTTCGAATTTCCTGAAGAATAATGGGACAATTTCGTTGGGAAAATCCTTAAAGGCTCCTGGTACACTTTTTTTTTTTGAATAATATTCTCTTTTTAATATTATATGATAAGATTTAATCAAATATAATTGGATTCTACGAATATGTTTGATAGGTTTTTAGAAAATATTTAGATTACTTTATAACCCCTAATATTTGTTAATGAAGCTAAACACCCCCCATCCAAACAATAAAAGTTTATAAATTAACAAAAACACTCTTGTCCACCCAAGTGATTGTCGACCACCACCGTTGAACAGTGGACAAAAGTCGTCGGAATGACATTATGATCGGTTGGATGTGGCTGATTATACGTCGATCTGACATTTTTTGGTTAAATCTATAACCAAAGATCTGGTCATTGACGACAGCTATATCCTGACCATCGTTGACAGTCAAACGACAATCATATCTCGACTAGATCTTTCGTCGTAGATCTGATCGTTTTCTGCCAGATCCACCATAAACAGATAGATCGATGCACGATTTTCATTCTTTAAGATAAGATAATAGAATAAAATAAGATTGAAGACGTTAAACAAATCATACGTTCGTGGGGTTCAAGAACACAGTTCAATTCCTGATATTGAATGGTGACCACATAAAAATCGTGTAGTTTTATTTATTCATATCCTATTTGTCTCAAATGTATGCTTTCTGTTTCGCAATGTCTCAACAAACCTTTGCCAAACAAAATGTGATCAATGTGGAGATCATATTGGTATTGAGAAAAGTGTAAGTCATTTTAATAAGTTGATTATTGGACAATCCATGCATAATAGACCTCGCGTGTTACGGAGAGAAAGAACACGGCCAATTGGCCATGGATGGATAAAAATACGAAGAAGAAAGTGCAGGGGAATTCTGAAATTAGAACTCCAGTTACTCTATGAAGCAGCAGAGTTCTGAAATTTGCCCAAAATCTTTGAAACTTCAAATTACTGTACTACTCATTTCCACCACAGATGATCTCTTAACAGACTTGAAACAAGAAAAGAAATGAACACTACATCGACAATACACAAAACCGCCAAGAGCACATTTAAGTGCTTTGGGTGCCACTGCCGGAAAAGAGAAGATTGAACTTACATGGTGAAGTTCAGTTTCACCACGACTCATGTTTTCCGACCAGCTGTATTGCATTCCCCCAACTTCTTATCATCGGAAAGAAAGTATAAAAGTGAATGAGAACCTTAGGCCTCAATGCTTCCATTTGCTGATAGAGATGTGTTCTGCAAATGCTGTTTGGTTTCCATCACCTAAGGGCATTGACAAAAGCCATCAATGAATCAACGTCCCTCTTTTCAGATGTGTACTTAATTGGCTTTGAAGCGTGTTTTGGGAAAAACAGTATTGTTGGGAAGCTTCCGAGTTGCAATTCTTGCTTAGCATATTCCTTCTGATCACCATCTGCTCTGAACTTTCCAACTTTCACACCACTTCCGGCCAACTTGTCAGCCAACTCAAGGTATGATCCTTCCATTGCCTGTTCAAATCAACACAAAAATCAGTTAGAGATGAACACCAAATCAACATTGTTATATGAATTCTCAATAGTCCGCAACACTAATTACCTGGCAAAATTGGCACCATGGGGCATAGAGCACAACAATCCATGGCTCTTGTCTGTTAACCATTCTTGCTAAATTCTCCACACCGGTCCTAGTCAAATTCACCAAATTCTGGGAATTGAAAATGTCATTAACTGCAGAAGCTCCATTTTCATTTCCATTCACTTGTGCTGCATTATCCCCTTTCAGATTCCCCTTGTGGAGGCCACACTCCTTAGCCTTGGCATCCTCCCACCACCACCTTCCTTCCCTTTCATGTTGCCCTGGAAGGACAGGCCTAGTGCAAGGCTCGCACCCAATTGAGATGTACCCTTGTGAGTGCAATGAATTCACAGGCACTTCCATTGCACGAAGGAAGTTCCAAATGTCATTACCCTTAACATTAGCCACAGGGTTCCACTTCACCAAGCTGCCAACACCACCCTCCAGTCCCTCAAAAACTGGATCCACCTGGACAACAGGAACCTCAGACCTAGTACCGGGTGACTGATCTTTCCTTTGGCCAGTGATCCAGGCACGCAAACCCTTAAGAGCCCTCCTGAGGGGCCTTACCTTCCTCACACGGCAGCACTCTTGGTGCCCATCCTCGTAAAAAGAAAAGAGCCCCTTGCTCCTCACTAATCCCTGAACTTCAACAGCATCAGGAAACATGTACTCGATCCGGATGCCATAATGTTTCTCAACTGTGTCAAAGAATTTATAAGTTTCTGGGTTCAACCTCCCAGTATCAAGACTAAACACCCTGAATGGTCTACCAGTTAAATGTGCATACTCAATCAAAGCAACATCTTCAGCGCCACTGCAACGTCAGAGAAAGAAATTTATCATTAATACAAAAGCTTTTTATTATTAAATCGTTAAACAATTTAAAAGTACCAATTAAATTTATGAGGACATTTTTGTAATCACGTATAATCATCTTATAATAATTATATTTTCAAAATATTTATTAAATTATTAGCTTGAAAATTAACGACTTCTAAAAATTATTGATTACTGCTAGCTAATGCAATCCAAAACACCAACTTAATCAAGTTATTCAACCCTAATCGCATACTCTTCTTTTCCAAAGACTAAAAATTAATAATTTAAACAAAATTTTAGAAAAAAAAATTACCTGAAAGCAATAGCTATGTCATTTCCGAATTACTCAAGAGCTTTGTCCATAATCTCAAGAGGCGAAGCATCTTGAAGCTCCTTAGCCAATTGTTCAAAGTCCTCCTCCACTACCTCGGCTTTCTCTTCAACTTCTACAAAAGTCAACACAATTCAACAATCAACTCACTCATTCACATCATTTTTCCAACTTCACCGACAATTAATTAAATATTTCACTCACCGGCAGCCACCACGGTCGCTGCAAGCGGCACAGTTGAATCAATCCATTTCGGCTCTGCATTCACCGGCTTCACAAAACTCCGCCGTTGGGATAGAGTCGTGTTTGCCACGTGTGGACGGTCAAGTAGCCGGAACAAACCGATTTGTGAAACTGAACAAACACAAACAAAAACAACCATCCATTTCAGTTTTTCCAAAAAAAGACCTCCAACAGAAGATGACCCAAAATCTTATTCCAAAGTCCAGCAGCCCCTTTTCTAAGGTGAGAGTTTTCTTGCAGTGATATCAACCGACGGAATCCATTTAGTTGGATAGAGTCATAGAGATCATCAGGTCAGCTCAATTTTCTGATCAAACGTATAGTATATACTATATATCAAATCACCATTTATGATATTTGAAGGCTTTTTTCTTGGAGGCATTTCGAATTTCCTGAAGAATAATGGGACAATTTCGTTGGATAAATCCTTAAAAGGCTCTTTTGGTACACTTTTTTTGAATAATATTCTTTTTAATGTTATAGGATAAGATTCAATCCAATAGGGTTGGATACTAAGAATATGTTTGGTACGTTTTTTTTTTAAATTTTTAGAAATATTTAGAATATTTTAAATCCTAATATTTGTTAATTTAACTAAACACCCCCTCTCAAACAATAAAAGTTTATAAATTGACAAAAACACTTATATTCACCTAAGTGATTGTCGGCCACCACCGTTGAACAGTGGCCAAAAATCGTCGGAATAACACACGACCGGTTGAATATGGCAGGTTGTATGTTGATCTGATCGTTTCCGATCAAATCTACGACTAAAGATCTGGTCATTGACAACAATCATATCTTGGTCATCGTTGACAATCAAACAATCATATCTCGACTAGATTTTTGGTCATAGATCTGATCATTTTCTACCAACTTCATAATAGATCTAACTAAAAATAGACAGATCAATACACGATCGACCAGATTTGATCGATCATGTGTTGTTCTGACGTCAACAACTGATAGTGGCTGGCGACTGTCACTTGGATGGATTTAGGTGTTTTTAGTTAATTTATAATTTTTTATTAAAAAAAAAATTATTAAATATTTTAAATCAAATAAAATAAGATTGAATTTTGAACAATATTAAAACAACCGCTTTTCTTAGCGGAATAAAATAAGATTGAAGACGTTAAACAAATCATACGTTCGTGGGGCTAAGGAACACAGTTCAATTCCTGATATTGATTAGTGACCACATAAAAATCGTGTAATTTTATTTATTCATATCCTATTTGTCTCAAATGTATGTATTCCATTAGACATCTCTCAACAAACCTTTACCAAACAAAATATGATCAATGTGGAGATCATATTGGTATTGAGAAAAGTGTAAGTCATTTTAATAAGTTGATTATTGGACAATCCATGCATAATAGACCTCGCGTGTTACGGACAGAAAGAACACGGCCAATTGGCCATGGATGGATAAAAATACGAAGAAGAAAGTGCAGGGGAATTCTGAAATTAGAACTCCAGTTACTCAATAAAGCAGCAGAGTTCTGAAATTTGCCCAAAATCTTTGAAACTTCAAATTACTGTACTACTCATTTCCACCACAGATGATCTCTTAACAGACTTGAAACAAGAAAAGAAATGAACACTACATCGACAATACACAAAACCGCCAAGAGCACATTTAAGTGCTTTGGGTGCCACTGCCGGAAAAGAGAAGATTGAACTTACATGGTGAAGTTCAGTTTCACCACGACTCATGTTTTCCGACCAGCTGTATTGCATTCCCCCAACTTCTTATCATCGGAAAGAAAGTATAAAAGTGAATGAGAACCTTAGGCCTCAATGCTTCCATTTGCTGATAGAGATGTGTTCTGCAAATGCTGTTTGGTTTCCATCACCTAAGGGCATTGACAAAAGCCATCAATGAATCAACGTCCCTCTTTTCAGATGTGTACTTAATTGGCTTTGAAGCGTGTTTTGGGAAAAACAGTATTGTTGGGAAGCTTCCGAGTTGCAATTCTTGCTTAGCATATTCCTTCTGATCACCATCTGCTCTGAACTTTCCAACTTTCACACCACTTCCGGCCAACTTGTCAGCCAACTCAAGGTATGATCCTTCCATTGCCTGTTCAAATCAACACAAAAATCAGTTAGAGATGAACACCAAATCAACATTGTTATATGAATTCTCAATAGTCCGCAACACTAATTACCTGGCAAAATTGGCACCATGGGGCATAGAGCACAACAATCCATGGCTCTTGTCTGTTAACCATTCTTGCTAAATTCTCCACACCGGTCCTAGTCAAATTCACCAAATTCTGGGAATTGAAAATGTCATTAACTGCAGAAGCTCCATTTTCATTTCCATTCACTTGTGCTGCATTATCCCCTTTCAGATTCCCCTTGTGGAGGCCACACTCCTTAGCCTTCGCATCCTCCCACCACCACCTTCCTTCCCTTTCATGTTGCCCTGGAAGGACAGGCCTAGTGCAAGGCTCGCACCCAATTGAGATGTACCCTTGTGAGTGCAATGAATTCACAGGCACTTCCATTGCACGAAGGAAGTTCCAAATGTCATTACCCTTAACATTAGCCACAGGGTTCCACTTCACCAAGCTGCCAACACCACCCTCCAGTCCCTCAAAAACTGGATCCACCTGGACAACAGGAACCTCAGACCTAGTACCGGGTGACTGATCTTTCCTTTGGCCAGTGATCCAGGCACGCAAACCCTTAAGAGCCCTCCTGAGGGGCCTTACCTTCCTCACACGGCAGCACTCTTGGTGCCCATCCTCGTAAAAAGAAAAGAGCCCCTTGCTCCTCACTAATCCCTGAACTTCAACAGCATCAGGAAACATGTACTCGATCCGGATGCCATAATGTTTCTCAACTGTGTCAAAGAATTTATAAGTTTCTGGGTTCAACCTCCCAGTATCAAGACTAAACACCCTGAATGGTCTACCAGTTAAATGTGCATACTCAATCAAAGCAACATCTTCAGCACCACTGCAACGTCAGAGAAAGAAATTTATCATTAATACAAAAGCTTTTTATTATTAAATCATTAAACAATTTAAAAGTACCAATTAAATTTATGAGGATATTTTTGTAATCACGTATAATCATCTTATAATAATTATATTTTCAAAATATTTATTAAATTATTAGCTTGAAAATTAACGACTTCTAAAAATTATTGATTACTGCTAGCTAATGCAATCCAAAACACCAACTTAATCAAGTTATTCAACCCTAATCGCATACTCTTCTTTTCCAAAGACTAAAAATTAATAATTTAAACAAAATTTTAGAAAAAAAAATTACCTGAAAGCAATAGCTATGTCATTTCCGAATTACTCAAGAGCTTTGTCCATAATCTCAAGAGGCGAAGCATCTTGAAGCTCCTTAGCCAATTGTTCAAAGTCCTCCTCCACTACCTCGGCTTTCTCTTCAACTTCTACAAAAGTCAACACAATTCAACAATCAACTCACTCATTCACATCATTTTTCCAACTTCACCGACAATTAATTAAATATTTCACTCACCGGCAGCCACCACGGTCGCTGCAAGCGGCACAGTTGAATCAATCCATTTCGGCTCTGCATTCACCGGCTTCACAAAACTCCGCCGTTGGGATAGAGTCGTGTTTGCCACGTGTGGACGGTCAAGTAGCCGGAACAAACCGATTTGTGAAACTGAACAAACACAAACAAAAACAACCATCCATTTCAGTTTTTCCAAAAAAAGACCTCCAACAGAAAATAACAAAAACAGATACGAACGAAATTTTACCTTTGATTTCACTTGACGAACTTGAGAGAGGAAAGCCTGATCCAGAGATAACTTTAGAAGAAGAAGAAACAGCCAAAGCCATATTTTTCAACAATTACTGTTTCTGTTATGTGTTTTGTGGTTTTGCTTAGAGAAATTGAAATTGAAATTGGTGTATACGCTTTGTGAGAGAGGAAGATCAGGAGTTAAATAATGGCTTGATGAGAAGCGTCGAACCAGGTTCATTGAACCTGGACGTGATTATGGTCAGTTGCCAAGACCGTGGGTTTGATGACGTGTATGTATATGATTGGATGGAGATAAATCTATTCCTCATCGCTTTCGTCACCAGGCTCTGTGCGTGTGCGCGCAACAAACAGCTCTTCAGGTGAGGAGAGCCGTGGCCAAGAAAAACGCTGGGGTCAATTTTGATGCCTGTGGGTCCACCGTGTGAATATCCTTGTCATGTTGATTGATTGATCATGGTCGTCCATTCATCATACCAAGTATTTTGTGATGGAGTTTAAATTTTGATTGTCAATTTATTTTATTTCTTTCTGTGGCCTTGGATTTAGTTTATAGAATATTCTTTTCGCATAATAATTTTTGTTTCTTAGTCCCAAATAATTATTGTCCACCTATAATTATGGACACATAAGTCGTAAGTCGTATGCCTTAAAAGTAGTGGTGAGCAATTTTTTATGATAGAATTGAAACCGACAGGTATTTGGGGTGTCGATTTCGGTTGTAAAATTAGTGAAACCATAATTGTGCAGGTCTGAGTCTAATTCCATCACTTTAGGAACCAAACCTGAGAATTGAAACTAGAATCGAGGTCTGAATACTCGAGGTGGAACCAACGGATACTTGAGTTGTATTTGTAACTTTTGTATTTTGTAAACATTTAAGGGTGTATTTGTAATTTTTATAAGACATATTTGTCATTTTGTTAACAGAAATGGTGTATTTGTAATTTTGTGTGAACAATGTCAAGTACCTAAGCCAGGAATCGAAACTTGCAGTAAAGGTTCCAATTCCAAACATTTAGGAACTGGAATCGACTGAGTCCGATTTCGATTCCTAAATGCTAGGAACCGTCTGGTCCAGGTCGAGTCCGATTCCAAGAGATTGGGCAGGATACCGAACCCACTCACCCCTACTTAAAAGGACAAGCTAAAGAGTCTCTTATTTTGTGTACACCTTTTTATTTAAGCGTTTGAGATTTGGATTTTAAGTAAGAAAGAAACCAATAAAATATACTCTATTCTTGTCACACTTCAAACGAATGCTAGTATTTCTCTTCAATTAAATTTCAAAAATAATTATTTAAAAAAAAATCAAATTGAAATCTGACATCTTTCTAATTAGCTTAGTAAATAAGATTTTTTATCCAATTTTCTTTTAATTTTTACCCTCTTTACCCTAGCAGCTAGGAAAAGTCACTTTCGTATTTGAATTGATAGAGTTCAATCAACTCTAGCATTAGAATAATTTTTTAATTTTTTTACTTTTAGAAAATTAAAATAACTCTTATACACATCTACTATTCCTTTTTAAAATTTATTTATTAATTTTGTTAATAAAATATAGTTTATTTATTTATTTGTTAGTTTAAAGAAACTTCAATATTTGATTTTTAATACTAATTTAAAAATTAATAAAAAAAATAATTATAAAGACTCTAGTGTTAGAGTCCATCACTATTGGGTGCTCGAATGGTTGAATAAAACCCTTAGAGGTTTACCCAATTATTAATTTCAGGGCCTTAAAGATTAATTGAGAAACGTGTAAATTAACTTAGATAAAATGTTTTTCAACTGACCCGGACACTTCAATAAAAAAAAATAATAATAATAAAGACAAGCGGAACAAAAGTAGATGAAATATCTCATCGTTAAATTATATTAATGTAAATTTAATTTCATAATCCTGTGTTCGATGTCGTCGCCCCTGTCAATTGATTTTCCGGCTACGTCCCGGACAGCGTTTTATATTTGCAGGTAAAATTATTAGAATGCACAAAAAGTTATATTGAAGCTAGTACCCTCGCTACATTTATACGTCGGAGGGTCATTATCTCCCGGGTAAGTGTGAGCCAAATTGCACAAATCTTTAAATGTCTTTGAATATTCATTCGGCTGGCAATCCGGGCCGGTAAATTTACCGGTGCAGCAATATTTAGGATCCTTCAACGCATCACAGGCGCTGTAACACCCGACATACGCCCCGTTTTGATTTTTCGCCACCAAGAAAGAAGGGCAGACATTGCTAATGTCTGCAATGCAATCGACAACAGGACATTTTCTGTCCCCGCCGAATAAAGTCCCGTCCAATGGTTCAAACCGAATCGGAATATTGAAGCCGTGGTTCAGGCTCACCTCGTAGGAGAGTACGGTTTTTTTGTTGAGGTCTAAGTTGAGTAAGGTGACCGGATAAGTGGGTGGTGGATCGCGGCAATAGTCTTTGCCAGAGCCGCAGTCTCCGGTCTCGCAGGAGAAGTAATTGGAGGCATTGGTCGAGCATTTGGTGCGCGCCCAAATGCTGCCCTTCCATGTATCAGGGAGGATGATTATATCTGTGCTGCCTGGTGAACTCTCACTTTCGAAATCGGCACCAGATGGACTGGAGGCCAGCCATATTTTGAATGTGCAAAGGTTCAAAGTATTTATAACTACGTCAGATTGTGCAGCTGAGACGAGCAGCAAGAGAAGGAACAAGATGGAAGGAAAAACATTACTAGACATTGAACCTTTGAGTTATGTCTTGACTCTTGAGCAGTTGTACAGGATTTAAATAATCAAAGGCTGGTAAAACTGTCAATAAAACTGACTTGATAACAACCATTGATGAACAACTGATTCATTCCGTTCAATCCAATATAGAGATTTCAAGTCTTAACTCTTTAAGTTTAGAAAATTTGTGTCCGATTTTTAAGTGGGTTACTGTTTTCTATGTACTTAAATAATCATTACTAAGCTTAGAAGAATGGATAAAGATAGAGAAAAAACCACCTTTGCAGCAATAGGATGAATGTTGGGATGTGTGGTTAAAATACATCGTCTCAAGTTCAAATCCTCTAAGGTCCCAAAATGTAAGTGGGTGGTCGTGGAGGACCGGCGGTGAATTGCTATGCTACTATAGTGATGGGAGTTTGACCACCCCCATTGGCTCCGTTTCCAGGTGCGGGGCGAGTGTGAGGATGGCCCCTCACCTGATTCAATTGAGTTTGGGCCACAGCTGCATCATACCAGTTCAGGAGCGGGTTTCTCCCATCCTCCGTAGGACGTCTGCGGGCATCCCCATCAAGCCCAACCTGACCCGAGGGCAGGTTGGATGCGAGGGTGGGTGTAGGAGACGAGTTTAAGTTCGGGGCTTAAGGTCTCGACCCTCCCCGTCCTGCCTCGCACCTATTCCTATATGCTAGTCTCTCTTGAGAATTAACGGACCATATGTAAACTACCCAAACACCTTGATTTGAAAAAAAAAAAGATTAAGAAAAAGCGACCAATAAAATTACAAGTGACAGATAGAATCTTCAGTCTATAAAAGTGGGAGGGAATCATTGCAGGAAGGTGGGTAGGTGGGTGTGGTTACAATTAATCCAATATAATTAACAATTTGATTATGACCTTTCGAGCTCAAAAGGGATGTATTAAGCGAATAATTTAAAGTTTTAAACGTTCTTTAAAAGGCAGGTCAGTGGACAAGGGACCACGGTTCAACCATTATATGAACCAAATAACCAATTGTGTCCATATTCAAGTAAGGTGTGTTGCCAGTTATGACCAAAAGTAACCCCTTTTCAAGGTCATTATCATTATTATTTTATGGTTTCCCTATGTTTCTCCGTAGCCGCCCACTTTTTCTATTTCATTATATTTTTGCTCTCTTTTTTGGTAAATATATTCGTTAATAGTACTTTCACATTTATTAAATAATCTTACCATGTTCAACTTGTTATATTATATTCAATGTACAACATTTGAGAGTTCAAAATGGTCTTCCAATGTTCAATTAAAGATGACAATTTGGGAGGTTTTTTTTTATATCCCTAGTTGACCCCGACAAAAGTGGACTCAAAAGAGTTGGCTTTAGGTCTAAGCGAATAAAAAACATATGAAATAAAAGCTTTTCTACAAGGGTATGTTGTTAATTGGGCAAGCATCAATTTTTTTTTTTTTGCTACAACACCCCTTGTAGCGCAGGCGTTAGCTTTTAGTGAAGTTATAACTTTGGCTTGCAATCTAGGTTTGAGTAAGGTCTTGCTAGGGAAAAAAAAAACTATTTAGATCTTATCAAGGTTAAGAAGAAAAAAGTTTTTTGAAAGATTGAAGTTTCGTTTGGTTCACATATTTTCCCCATAAAGTTAACTTTGGTTCACTTATTTTCAAAATATAACTCTAAATTATTCAATTTCCTTTAAACTCACTAAATTTGTTAATTTAACTAAACAACCCCAATTTTTTTTTTAAAAATTAATAAAAACATCCCAGCAACCCAAATTTACCAAATTTTGGGCACCACTGTCAGAAGCTGGCCAGAACTGGTGTAATGGCGCACTACCGACTGAATCTGGTCGGTAGTGCATCGATCTAGCCTTTTTCGGCCATATCCACGTTGGATCTGGTCGGAAAAAGTCAGATCTTTGGCTGTAGATAATCGTCAACAACCGCTGTATCTTTGGCCGTCGTTGACGACCAAATGCGACCAGATTTGACTGTCAATGGCCAGATCTAGCCGTAGATCTGACCTGAAAATGTCATATCGGTGCACGACCGACAAGATGAGCCGATCATACATCGATACGGCAACTCTGACCACCCTCCAGTGGTGGTGGCCGGCTGTCTGTATTTATGAGTGGATTACGTGTATTTTTGTTAATTTTGAATATTTTATTATTGAGGTGTTTAGTAAATAAATAAACATATGGGGTATTTATATTAATTTTCAAAATTCTATATCGTAATACCCACCCAATTTAACTTTTTTCAAAAGATTATTCTAAAAACTACCCAATAATGAACTAAACGGAGTCTGATAGAATAATAATACTAGTCTTACAAATACAAATGCAAAGAGGGTTGTACAAAGTGACGTGGCAATGACAATTCCACATTAGTTGCCACGTCATCAATAAAAAATTAATTATTTTATTCTAATTTTCTAGTCCTTCTTCTTTGTTTCTTTATTTACTTTATTATTTCAAAATTCAAAATTCAAAATTTTCTTCTAAGAATTTTAAATTTCGTTCCGTTCTCTTGTTAGCTCCACTCCATCGCTCTCGAAGAATTTTAAGTTTGAAGTGGTTTTGTTATTTTTATTGCCACCTCATTAATTATTAAACCATTGAATTATTATAGATCTAATTTGTATCAATAATTTAAGTTAATAAATAATAGATTCTACATGTTATTTTTGTCTTGGCATACAGATTACTTGGTTCAAATGTGGAGGAATGTCATTAGGCCTTGGGCCTAAGCTGCGGCCAATTCCATTTTCCTTCCACTGGGTGACTCCCAATAACTGCAAAATGGATTCATCTTCCTTCCATTTAATTGCCACGTCATCATTGAAAAATTATTTATTTTATTCTAATTTTCTATTTATTCTTCTTCTTTTCTTTATTTACTTTATTATTTCAAAATTCAAAATTTTCAATTTTCTTCTCCATCACTCTGTTCTCTTATCAGCTCCACTCCATCGCTCTATTCTCCTGTTAGCTCTTCTCTATCGCTCTGTTCTCCAGTCAGCTCTTCTCCATCTCCACCGCTCTTCTCTATCGCTGCCTTCTCCTTACCGACAAACCAAACCCTAACCCTAACCACCGAAATCGTAGAGCGTCCAGCCCTATCGTTTGAAAGCTTCTAAAATCTGACAGAGGAACCAAAAGAGATAAGTAAACAGAGTGACCGAGTGGATTCTCCAAAATTCCGCCATTACCTCTACCGTGGCTCTTCGCTATTGTTAATTGAGGTGCAGATTTTTGGAATCGTTTTTGTGCACACATTGTTAGTTGAGGTGCAGTGACTGTTAATTAACTTATGTCATTTCTAATTGTTGCAAGGGAATTCTATTAGAAATGGTCAGGGTAAAGCTTCAAATACCAATTGGAAAAATGGTTCATGGAAAATTTATGTAAGAAATCCAAAAAGAGAGCAGTCACGGGGGTGAGTGCTTTTACCTTTTTCATTTCTTTGTCTATGATTTCTGTTGGTATAAGATTTCAACTTGTTATTTGTAATTGAACAATGACAATGTAATTTGTGTAGGTTTCATAAGTCTCTGTTTCATCATGGGGATAATGCAAAGAGAAAATATGTGTTTCATAATAACCATACAAGAGCAGCTTTTGACAAGCAACATATGGCTTTATCTTAAATCCTATTTGAGGAGCAACAAACCCTTTTGGAGCAGAGCCGATATAATAAAAAAAATTATGGTATTATTTCTACCTTTTTGTTAGACAATCTCTAACTACAAACACTAAATTAGTGCAATGGTGCAAGTTTCACACCAAATTAGTGTGATTTTTTTATATAAAATACTATTGTATTTCCAACCAATTGCACTAAATATTACACCAAAAAAAAAATATTCCTTAGAATATTTTCTTTCTTTTTCTTTCTATGTAATAATCAACAATTAATTTATTTCACTCATTATTTTGTATATATTAATTAAATATTAAGAATAATATTTTTATTAAATAATTATTACTTTGAAAATTGTACTAATTTAATAAAATTAAGTATTTATTTAGTCAAGGTTTTGAATTTCATAACCAATCCAAGCCTACGTAAGTTTTTTTTAAAATGAGCAATAAAAAATTATGCAAAAAAGAGCTCAACAACAAGGTTAAGGATCTTAATGTTTTGGGTTAGGTTGGAGGCCATCTTTCACGCCATTTTGGTATTTTTACACCAAAATAAATACAATGGTGTTGGGTTGGAGATGCCCTTACCTATTATTATATTCTAAATCTGACTATTATAATATCTAATTAGGAAGAAATAAAATATACAAGAAATGCATAAGAGGAATGGGAGCTTAAGCCTGGAATGAATTTTTGATTCATTTGATCGACTTTTCGAATACTATAGAAGCTATGACAATAAAATGGGTTTTGAAGCTATTATAAGATCTTCAAGTAAAAGAGATGATGGAAAGTTCAAATACGCGACCCTCTCTTGGGTTTATAGTGAGAAGTCGACATGTATCTCCAGAAATGTCTTTAAAATGCATCAAGTGACCAAAACTGATTGTAATGCTCGGATTGGTGCAGCTTTATGTTCTGATGAAATTTGGCAAATATGTTCAGTTGTCCATGATTATAACCATGAACTCAGTAGTCCTAGCAAAACTAGATTTTTCAAGACCAATAGACTAATAAAATTGTAAGTTAAAAGTAAACGATAGGGTTGGGAGTAGACCAAATAAAAATTTTAATTCCTTCCTAGTAGAAACAGGGGATCCCAAAAATTTGTCTTTCTTACAAAAATATTATGAAAACTACATTGAAAAAGTTACGAGGCTACAATTTGGTGTTGAAGATGCTTCTACAATTCAAAAATATTTTTTGAAAATGTAAAATGAAAATTCAAATTTCTTCCATATAATGGACTTAGATAAAGAGAGTCTATTAAAGAATGTTCTATAAGCGGATGTAAAAAGTAGGATTGCATTTAAAGAATTTGATACTCATTATATGTTTCTTTCATATATAAATAATTCCAGGCTATAATCCGATAAATCCCGAATACTTTTAATTCAATTTATTTTTACTTTCATAAAATAATAAGAAATTGATTATTTATGTAATATGAAAACTATTGATGGAGTGATGATAGAACAAGGCTTCTGGAAAATCCATAAAATTGATCTTCATGATAACAAGTACTCTTAGCATTTCATATCTAAACATTGCCTTCATCATCCACAAAACTTCACCAAAATATGAAACATAACATGTTGCACATCATTTACGAAATTGCATATCATATATGCATACAAACACTGCCCAGAAAATGACCACTACTTCATCAGTCTTCCATTCAACCATTATCATAACCAACATTACTGACTAGTGATTGTCAAAAGCAAGCCATAATGATCACTAGGCAAAACAGGAAGCTCCAACTTCCTTATCTCTCTCTTCACTTTCTTCTCTTTGCAATATGAGAGACCTGGTATTGCCTCCATTCCAATCATGTCAATTCTACTAATCTTAAAATCACGCAAATTGCAAATAAATCGATCTAGCCGCTTCTGCAATGGGTGATTACCAGTCAACATCTGGTTGGACTTAGTATCATACGTCCACCCATTCTCCCCCGGCCTTAACTCTGTCCAGGCATCAACCCATCCCTCAGGGAAAGGAAATCGACCATCCAGCTTGTCATCCCAGTTCATATCACCACAAAAGATCACGTTTTGATTCTTCTCCAGAAGGTTGATAGCCTCCCTTGCCTGTTCCACACGTTCTTTGCTAAACATCTGATCCCACGTAGGAGGGCGCGGGCAGGGACTCTCGAGATGGCTAGTGGCAACAACCAAAGACTTCTCGTCTTGAACTTTAACCTCAGCAATGCAAAGTTCTCTCCCCATAATTGAATTCCTGAAGGGTTTACAGCTGAAGGCTTTCACTTGCAATTTGCTTAACTGCATATCATATACTAACCAGTTGAGTATCAAAAATAGATCTCAGTCCCTCAAAAGATCAAATTATTTCCAACTCAGCAAAGCCTTCATTCAAATTATAGAAACATACAATACAAATAAGAACTCTCATCGGAGGTACTTAAAGCTAGATCATATAAAAAATATAACGTGCATGCCTGTTGCCAAAACAGTTCATGGACATATATCAATGTCCACAACGTAGTTATAATAACTTCAATATGCAAGCAACTGTCATACTGTCAACGTTGATAAAAAACGTGTGATTCATTTCTTAAATATGTCTAATTGAGGACCTTATGTGCAGTACCAAGATAATGAACAAAAGCTTACTTGCAAGCAAAAGTATGGCCTTGACGTCGCCATCTCAATTGAAACCGAGCATTGATATACCTTCCACCAGCTGGATTGGCGAAGTATGTCATATATATTAGGAGTAACCTCCTACAGACCAATTTTCATACCACTTGTAAGAAGCTAAACAATAGATTATGTTCATTGACAAATAAGGAAGATAAAATGCCAATAACCTGAAAACAAATGAGATCTGGAGAATGCAGTTGAATTAGATCACCAATTGCGTTCATCCTCTTATACATCTCCAGGTCTTCTCGGAACCAAACATTATAACTCAAAATCTTCAATGACCTCATAACTGCCCCTGAATTAGAGTCCTCAGCCAAAAATATAAAGAACTTTATACATGTATAATAATAACAAACCATAAAAAGCATATCATATTGTATCATTCATCAGTACCATGACAAACAGAAAACTAGAATATTTGGAATCAAAATTGCTAAAAGCCACTAATTCGTTTCTTTAAAATGCTTCCTCATACCTCACATGGAAACACAAACCTTCTGGCAATTCTTGCAATTGCCAGTTGCAGCATGATGTTTTAGTAAAGTAATGTTCATCTTACCCATTAACTGAAACAGTCAGGGTGATGATCGGTTCTCTTTCTTTTCAAAAATAGGAGACAGCACACAAGATCACATCCTTCAGTCAAACTCCATTGAAGAAAAAAAAAAAAATGAAACGCCAAACTACTATCTTTACTTGCTAAATTCTCCTAATATACACATACTCGGAAACAAGAAATCGATTAAACCCAAGTGCATAAAGGTAAACACTAAACAAACACTATCAAACTACAAAACAAAACTCTCCATTTCTGTTTCCAAAAAACAACTCCAACAAAAAAGAACAAAAACAGAAACGAACATAATTTTACCTTTGATTTCACTTGACGAACTTGAGAGAGGAAAGCCTGATCCAGAGATAACTTTAGAAGAAGAAGTAGCAGCAGCAGCCATAGCCATATTTTCAAAATTAGTGTTTCTGTTTTGTGTTTTGTGATTTGTGAGAGAGGAAAGAAGATCAGGGGTTAAATAAAACAAACAACTTTTAGAAGAAGGGAGAATCGACTTTTAGAAGAAGGAAGATCAGCAATCAAATAAAACAAACAACTTTTAGAAGAAGGGAGAAACAACTTTTAGAAGAAGGGAGATTGAGAAATACCAATTACCATGCATGGGTACAACGTGCCATTATCAGATAAATATTGGGTTAATGGGTTTGACGAAGACTTCCATCCATACAATTATCAGATAACCAATCTATGCATTTTGTTCTTAGTCCTACACTTCTCTGACCTGAGTTGTTATATATATATTCAATGTAGTACATTTGGAAGTTCAAAATGGTCTTCCAAAGTTCAATTAAAGATCAGTACATCCCTAATCGTAGGGGCAAAAATTGAGCAGAGCCGCTCGCGGCTCGATGTTGGCTCGAACTCAACTCAGCATTAGTTGAGTTGAGTTCGAGTAGTTATTCAAGTTGAGTTCAATCACAGTAGAATTCAACTCGAAACGTTCGTGAGTATTTTCAAGCTTGATGGTTAAGTTGATAATTTTTTAAAGTAATAGGGGTCATATGTAATTTAAAAGTTGTAAAAGTAATAGTTCAAATTCGAACTCAATTAAAACTCGAATAAACTAAAAAAAACTTAATTGCACGAACTCGAATTTTAATTTCAAGTACCGAGTTTGAGTTCAAACTTAATTTCTCAAGCTCGAACTCGAACTCGGTATTATAACGCTCGAGTCGAGTTCGATTTACCAGATACTGGACTCGATTTCGACCATGATGAAAATTGACTTAAAGAGTTGGGTCTAGTTCTAAGCAAATAAAAAACACATCAAATAAAAGCTTTTCTATATCAGTGATTTTATTTAAGCCTCCATTTTTAAGTAATTAATTTATAAATTTATCATAATTTATTTCAAAATACCCATTTCTCTAACTTACACTTTTCTTTATAGTTTATACTGCCAACTTTTTATGTTTATGTTTATTAGGTTATTCGTATTGGCATGATTTATGTTTGGGTCTTTTGCTGACTGTGATCCATGTGAAGTTACCCAAGAGTTTGGGCTTCAATTGTGTATTTGCGTTAGATTCGGCCCATTTAATCAAGTTTAACAGATTAAAAAATGACAAAAATCTTGAACATCCAAGTTCACCATATATGCATGATTATTAGTAGAATTAAGGTATGGATTTTAAGAAAATCGGGATGTTCGTAACATAAATACTGATTTGGTTTATCATTTTACATTGTGACATTATTATTTCACCAAAAAAAAAAAAAAAAAAAAAAAAAAAAAAAAAAATTGCCTTATATCACTAACACCAAGTCATATCTAATGGATTTTAAACATTAAATATGTACTCTCTCTGTTTCAGATTAATAGTCATTTTAAGCTTATAATTTTTTTCCAAAATAAATGGTCTTCGACCAAAAAGTTACTTAACCCTCTCTCTTTTTCTCGATGAATGGTCATTGTCTCATCTCTTCCACTTTTTCTCTAACCCTCATCTCCTCTCTCTCTTTCTCTATCTCCGGTCTCTTGTCTCCTCTCTCTCATTCTCTCTCAAACGCCATTAAACTCTTCACATCTGCTCTCTTTCTTTCTCTTTTAGACGCCATTTTACTCTTCACATCTCCTCTCTCTTTCTCTTTCAAACGCCATTTAACTCTTCACATGTCCTGAACCAAGTCTAAGAAGGATTCTTCTTGTGCCAAACTTAGTTGTAAACAACCTATTCTCTGTCTTCACTTATTTTATTATTTTATGATATTTCAGCGATGGTGAGTAACTAAAAAACATAGAAGAAATAGATGGAAGAGTAGTACACTTTCACACTTTTAGATAGTGGGAAAACAAAAAATTTCTCACCTGCACTTTCAGAGGGAGGAGTCAATAAAAGATAAAGTAGGAGAAACAAAATTACTTTATTAAAAATTATGCATAAACCTAAAACGATTATTATTATAAAATAGAGGGAGTAATTAACGTGATATTAATATATTATCAATCACGTAATTTATAATATACGATCAGGATTTCAACTTTATATATAAAACATTACAATCACCTCTTTGAACTTCAAATTCACAAACTAACCATATACACTAAAGTTGTTTAAACGTGGACGAAAAAGGATCATGAAAAGGAAATATAATGAATAGTATGCTTTGCTTATAATAAAGTTGAAAGCAATTCCTCATGCCGTCCACCACCTCCAAATAAAAAGGGGTAGTAAAATGATTCAAAGTTGCCATGTTTTCATCATTAACTCCAAGCACCAGCAATCAATCTGTCCGCAAAACTGAGAGCTTCACTGTCTCCCTCTTAGATTTTTACGTGTCTTATACGGGTTGGCTTGACGGTCAAAAGAATTTGTTTTATTCATTGACTTCTTGAGTTCGAATCATCTTAAGGTTATCTATCTCATTTGTGACTTATCCAGATACCCTGGTTATTTTATATATTCCCTGTAACGTTTATAACTATAAAATCATGCATGTTAATAGGCTATTTTCACTCACTCAATCACTATTATTAGAAGATCAATACTACGTCGTATCTATAATTTATTAGTTACAAGCTTGTGAAACACATGGCTAAATATGATAATGCCAACATGGAGGTAATTTTAACGTATGTTAGTCGACTGTCGGTTCCTGGTCCGGGTTTCAAAACAGCGATTTAAACAACTTAGTGTGAATTTGAAGGGATAAAATGATCATAATGTTGTATATATTCTAAATGATATGATTGATGATGTATTAGTGTCACATTAATTATACGTTGATGTACTTAAATGTAAGAGTACTACACTGACAAACACTTTTCACTAATTTTCTCTTACAAATGCAATGTATCAGTTCGTGATTGATCAACTCGCATGAGTCCCGTCTACCTAACAATTGGTCTCGTCTGACCAAACCAATTGCGAACTGTCACATAGGTTAGTGATAGGTGTTAGTGGGAAATGTTTGTAAAACTAGTATTATTGTAAACGTAAATGTATAACCAATGTTGATATGATTTGCATAAATTGAGGGAGATACTAATATAGACAATATATCTTTTATGTTAAAATGGATTTTTGGGCAAGATTTGCTGTGATTCATTGTTTTGCATATTTGGTTCCTTGTATCATGTCAAATATTGGACATTGAATTGTCTAGATTTATTTCCATAATTGTGTGACAGAAGATCAATACTACGTCGTATCCTAAAAGAAATCTTAAAAACACATGGCCAAATATAATACTGCCAACGTGGATGTAATTTTATCGTATGTTAGTAGGCTGACTCATGAACAGGTCAACTGCCGCTCAAATTATCGGCTTCATCCCCTCGATCAAGAGCCGTTCACAAAATCATAGACAAATCTCTACCGTCGATCTTCCTTCAATCATTCAACCCATTAGTAATAGACAACCACTCTAAACAAACTCTCCGCAAAAGATAATATAAATTTACACTATTGTTACAGATCGTTCTCGAGCATTTCATCACACTCTTCAGACTTCACTGAACTTCAAAATCTCGCTCTCTCCGGTAAGCTCTCTGGCGTCTTTTTTGATCTTTAGTGTTCTTGATGCGATCGTTTGATTGTGTTCTGTACGTCTCTAATCAGAGTCTTGTTTTGCGTTTTTTGCGGTTGTCGTTTAATTTTGGGTAACTGACGCTCGGTCGAGTTGATATTATGAGAAATGATGTGTGTATAGATGTGTATCACTGTGTTAATCTGTTTAGCTTGACTAACTGCCTTGTGAATTTGAAGTTATTGTCGTCATTTTTGAATTTTTTTGCGTGTTTGATTTGATTTTATTCTAGTTTTATATCTTGATGGATCGGAAATTATTTGTTCATATATATATATATTTTTTTTTTGCAAAGAGAAAATTTTTGTCATGATGTTTGAAGTGATAAGATTTGCGTTTAATTTGCGGAGTTTTAGGTGGCTGAAACTCGACCGAGTTGATATTATGAGAAATGATGTTTAGCTGTGAATCGTTGTATTACTCTGTTTAGGTTGACTATTTTCCTTGTGAATTGAAGCTATTGTCATTATGTTTAAAATCTTTACGTGTTTGATTTGATTCTGTTCAGAATTTATACGTTGGTGGATCGAAATTCAGAACGCATTTGTTTATATAGTAATTTTTTTTAAAAGAACATATTAGTGTTTGGTTACTGTTAAACTGAGAACTTTTTCTGAAGCAAAAGATTGCAGTTTCAAGTTTTAGCGGTAAGAAAATATTAATTGCGTTCAAAAGCATAATTTCTAGCAAAAATTTGATAATCTTGTTATTTTTTTAAAGTAATAATTAAGAAATTTCATAATTTTATGCATAAGTAAAAAATGATGTCACGTTTTGGAAAGTGGAAAATAAAATAAATCTGAAAAACAGTGCTTCACAGTTTATTATTATTATTATTTTTTTTTTTTGCATAATAGAGACGAGTCACTTTGTTGGATATTCTAGGTTTGCTGTTTTATAGCTATGTTTCTAATTCATCTATTCTAAGTTTTAGAGTTGTTTCATCCTTTGGTATTCATCGGAAATGAGTGCTTTTGTATTAACTAGATATTCCAGTGCAGAAAATATTGTGGTTATAAATTCGTGGTTTACATCTAACAAATGTTGTCAATGGAAGCAGAATAATTTCATTTCAAAATGGCTGAGGCTGCTGCCTCTAACGCTGAGCTGTTGGAGTGGCCAAAGAAAGATAAGCGACGCATGCTTCATGTTGTGTATCGTGTTGGTGATCTTGATCGCACCATCAAGTAAGCCTTTAAAACATTTATAGGATTGATATTTGGGTATGGTCAATAATTTTGGATGCTAGGATGTTCTCTTGTTGCTCTAATTCTTTTGTTATCAGGTTCTATACTGAATGCTTAGGGATGAAGCTGTTGAGGCAAAGAGACATACCAGATGAGAAATTCACCAATGCCTTTCTTGGGTTTGGCCCAGAAGAGTCTAACTTTGTCGTTGAGTTAACTTACAGTACGGTGCTCATATTATTCNTCATATGTTATGATATGAATATACCACACCAATTCGTTATGTATAGATGATGAGATTCCATTGATACAGAGCCAATTCCAATAGACTTATTGGAGGGACCTTTCCTTTCTTTTTTGGGCCGTGTCTCCTAGAGAGAAGGAGGGATCCCCTATTTCAGTGCATAGGCTTTATAGAAAAACTAACCGAGGGGCCTTTGGTTCGTACTCTAATCTGTTTACTTTGGACTACTCACTTGGTAACTCCTACCCACCGACCTTACCTATATTATCTATTATCATATGCTGCTCCTTCGCCCTCTCTTCTCTCCCTATTGGTCCAGCCTAACGGCTTTCTCATATTCAACATCCCCAAGTAAACTTTGCCCACCGGAGTGCAGTTTAAAGCCCCAAGGACCAAAACTTCATTAAATGAGATGTACCTTATTCACCATCAACCTCCTGAATATGAGGATTAACTTTCTTTTTACTACCCACTATGAGTATAAATTAGGGACAGTCTCCTGAACATGAGAAAAAACTATTTACTTTTGGCCTGCATGAGTATAAACTATGAACGGCAAAACAATATCAAAAAGCCCTTTTTTCCTCATAAGCCAGGAGTAGATTCACAATTTGTCCCATTCAAGATGAAAGAGCAGATTAACCATGTCCTACCGGGTGTAAGCAAATAACTCCTAAGCAAGAGTGTAAAAGGAAAAAGAAAACCATGGAATTCATGCATATATAATAGTTCCAAACCAATAAATCAAACCAAGTTTATAGGTATGTCCAATCCGGCATAAAGAAAGTCAAATCAAAACTATGAAGATGTCCAAGGATCAAAAGCGGACAAAGCAAGAAAGCTCAAAGCCCAACTGTCTCAACGGACTTTTGCAGCCCCAGAATCTCTCTACGCCCATGCAAAAACCGGAGCTGCTGCTTCCCTTTGCCTTTCCCGCGTCTGGGTCTTTATCTACTAGTGATGGGGCTACCTAAAGCACTTGATATTCCTTTTTATCTTCATCACTATCTCTGTTTTCATCTCTTTATCTTCCTCTTGTGCGGATGATGTCTTTTTGGGGTTGTTGGGCGGGTTGATAGGTTGCTGGACATGAGGAAAGGGTGAGGTGGGTTTGTTGGGATGGGAGCAAGGTGAATGCGGTGGGTGGGTTTGCTAGGTGAAAGAGGGAATTATTGGTTGCCAAAGGATGGTGATATTCGCTTCTGAAGAAATTCTTCAAGGTTATGAAGATGTGTTTGTCGGTGGTTCTGAGAAGTTTGCAACGGTGGAGGATGGGGGAGATTGGACTGGACTGTGAAGTGGTTGTGTACATGATTTTACAAGAAAGAGATCTTGTGAAAGAGGTTTTAGGAAATTTAATTTTAATTAGAGTAAATATAATCAATAAAATTTATCCCTTTGCCATTTGAATTCTGGCAAAATCCAAGAGAGAATAAGAGAGGGGAAAATAAAGATACGGAAGAAAAGAGAGACCAAAAAGAGAGGGCGAATTGAAAATAAAAAATTTCAAGGGCATTTCAGTCTTTTCCACACTATTATCCTTTAGCAAATGAAAATCTTTCACAGAATCTAACGGAAAGTGACTGTTTATCACTGTTTATCATTTCTAAGCTTTTCAGGTATCAAATTATCTTTACAAAAACTATGGATAAGTGCATGTCGTTCTGCCTCTAAAAATTTAAAAATGGCAGCTCCCGGCCAAGTCCAGTAATTTTACATTATGTGTCTTCTCAATCTCGGGAATGTCTGAAGGTCTTTTGAAATGTAAATACAATAACCCTTATTTAATTAGGCCAAAAGCCATTCTCCTACCCCAAGTTTGCCTCAACGACATTTCATACCCAAAAGGTTTTTAAAATGACAATTACCCACTTCCCTTAACATTTGTCCATTAAGTTTATATATATATAAACTCTACTCCCATCTTCATCACCACTACTAACACTGCCGCCGGCCGTTTGCTACTATTCTTACCGGATTCTTCATTGGAATTGACCGGAAAAGCCACCCTAACCACCTCCCCGCAACACACAAACAACCGTCCCCCACAACCCGCCCTTCGTATTTAGGCCAAATCGGCCTGAATCCGACCCCGTTAAGTTCCCCCACCACCACCAACAGACTCCTCACAATCCCCTTAACAAAACCCTTCTCTTTCCCGAGCGATTCCACCCCCAAGCGCCGACCGCCGCGCATGGTTGACTCGCACGATTCCAGCCTTTTTTTCGACCGATCACGGTGTTGACAACCCCAACCACCACCACCCTTTGGCTCACCAGCTTCCCTCCTACAAAACCCCTAACCTTCCCGACCCTAGCAACCCATCATTTGTTGTCCACCGCTCAACCTAGGGTTTGTTGCATTTTTTTTAATTGGTTGTTGAGGATTGTTGTTTGATGAAATTGAAGTTTGGGGTTTCTGTAAGAGATTGATTGAAGTGTTTTTGTGATTTCGGAAAATCCAACCATTCACAACTGTTCGTGAAAAGTCCCTAGCCAACCCAGCCATCTCCTTGCTCACCGCAGCTTCCTTTCTGCGTGTGCATTGCAATGCACAATTCCGGCAACCACCTGTATGCTTTTTCGCCACAACCAGCTCCTCACATGCAATCCCCTACTTGTGCACGATTTATGCGCACGCACCCCACGGGCCTACCTGCTAGAATTGGACCTAGACAAGTGTGATTCTGACTGAATAAGATTTCAAAGAGGAGAGGGTATTTTCGTCCTTACAGTTACTGCCATGTTAGGTAACGAATTTTATTAACACATTTTAACTGTAAATGAGTAATTATCGTTTTGAAACTTTTTGGATACCAAATGGTCTTTAAGGCAAACTTCCGGTGGGAGGCATTTAATTATTGTGATATAGAAATCCTTATTTTTCTCGTGCGTTGTTAAAACTGTTGGTTAAGTTCACAATTGACAGCAACGTTGACTTGACAGTTATCTAATATTCCTTACCAGATTTTAATATGAATGGAAGTTAGGAAATTCATCTTCTAATTTCCGACTCACATACGCACACTGAAATTGAAATTTTCGTACATGTATAAATATAAACTCACTTTACCAACGGAGAATTCACTACTTCACGCTGAGATAAGATTAGCAACGTTGACAGTTATCCAATATTCCTTACCAGATTTTAATATGAATGGAAGATAGGAAATTCATCTTCTAATTTCCGACTCACACACGCACACTGAAATTGAAATTTTCGTACATGTATAAATATACACTCACTTTTCTAACGGAGAATTCATTATTTCACTTCGAGATAAAATTAGCTCCTCGTTATATCATGCCTTCAAATCATACCAAATTCTCAAGTTTGGTTTTGTCGTTTGTTTTTCTTTTTCTGAGAAATGCAGATTGTGGGCAAATTGTGAGGACATTGCCGGGATACGCAGGTTCTCTTCCTTTCAAACTTGAAACTGGGTAAGTCGTGAAATTTAATTTGGTCACTTTTTCACATTTGTGTAAAGTGAAGGAAGTTAATTTTTAAGAGGATTTTTGAAAACTCAGATATGTGAGCGTGGGGGATTCAGAGCTCTTCTACTTGTTTGTGGAGTCGCAAGGAAATCCTGAAGTAGATCCTGTTCTATTTTACGTAGTTGGAGGCCCTGGTTGTTCCGCTTTAAATGGTTTTTTCTTCCAAACTGGTATCTCATTTGTCCTCCTCTCTTTTGTACATTCAAATATGGGAATGGGTTTATTTTTACAACCCCTTGAATTACACTCAAAGTTCTCAAAAATTATTAAAAATCCCCTTATAATTATTAAAACCCTATTGAGACAGTGGGATTTTTCATTTTTTTAATAATTCAAGGGGGATATATTCAATTAAACAATCTTGTAAAGTGGTGTACGAAATAAACCTTATTGGAATATATCAATAAATTACTATTTCCTGAAATAAATATAGAATAAAACTATGTGCACTAACCAATGAGTACTAATCCAAGTACTAACATTGGAAATTTGAAATTCCCTCCAAAAAAAAATTTCAAATTTCCAATGTTAGTACTTAGATTAGTACACATTGGTTAGTGCACATAGCATTACTCATAAATATATTAGGTAGGTATGGTCAAATTTGGCTAGATAACTAAGATGAGTGTGATACTATTTTTATCATTATCATCATGTCACGATGTCGTTTTGTTGGACAGTGGTATAGGAATATATTAATAAATGCTTATATTCAAAATTATAGATCTGCCTTAACTTTGATGTCTAATATATATATATTTTATGTAGGTCCACTACAGTTTAATCAAACTGACTACACTGGTGGCTTGCCATCGTTACATCTGTATCCCTACACATGGACAAAGGTGCCAAAATTTTAAGCTATATGTGGCATTAATTTCATTAAAAAATCATGTTTTATGATTGTATAATGGTGATAAATTTATTTAATTTTGCAGACTGCCAGTATAATTTTTGTAGATTCACCTGTTGGCTCTGGTTATTCTTATGCATCAACTGCCGCAAGTTACGTTCTCTCAGACTCGAAGTTTGCAAATCAAACTTATAACTTTATGAGAACTGTGAGTGAAAATTTAATATAAAATTCTGCTTTAACTTAACAGAATTTTATGTTGGCACAAACTCTCATAGATCTTAATTATATTGTGCATTAATTTATTTTAATTTTTAATTGGAAACAGTGGTTGAATGAGCATCCTCAATACATCCCAAACCGAGTTGTTCTTGCTACTGATTCTTATTCTAGTATCATTGCTCCAATTGTCGTTCAAAAACTATTGGAAGGTAATTAATTGAAGCCAATTTTGTTAATCAGTATTAGGGCATGTATATTTTTGTTATTACTTTATCTAACGTGTCAATTACATACACATGGCATTGCAGATAATAAAGCCGGAGTTGAG